TATTTTTTTTACGTTGACAGCCAACGATATCCTTCAAAACCCTTTCAACCCAACTTTACCAGAGGGGATGCCATCAGGGAGTATCATCAGTTGTACTCGGCAACTGGAAAGTATCTTAAAAACAACACTATGGCCATAACCCGCGACAAATTTTGTAATGGATATTGTCTGTTCTGTTTTAACCTGAGCCCTGATGAAGGATGTGGAGACCATATATCGCTCATTAAAGACGGTAGTGTTAGATTAGAGGCTCGTTTTAGAAATCCGCTTCAACGCACAATAAATGCGGTTATTTACGCCACATATGATTCTATAATTGAGCTGTCTATATTGACAAGCAGGGTGTGGGATCATTCTTTGACAGTTTTGGGAACTCTCCGATATACTCACATTTTCCAGAATCCTTTTCTGTCTTTCTCAACAGTAATTGTAAGTCCACGCAACATTCTGTTACTGACAAGTGCAAGATGTGGATTCTGTAGTGTGCGGTCAGCATTGTGTGTTTTCTCTTTACCATATGGATAGAGGGTTATCTTATGACAATGTAATGACTAAATATAGTAATAAACTGTCATGCAATGATTTTATGGTGTGCAAATTTGTGAAAAAAATAATTATGCAGAATGTAACCAGTGTGTTCAAGTATCAGATTATTTTAAATAATATTAGAAGCTGTGTGTCCATCATTATCAAAATGATTAATAGATTGAAACGTGTACAACAATGTTTTTTGTTATTCTGATGATATAAATAAAAACACTGAAATGATAGTTCTGTCTCAATGCATTTATTTAAAACCGATATACAATTAAAAAGTTATCCAATCACTCAATCGCATTTCAGGAGATACAAATGGACTGGTTTCATTGTTTGCTAATCGATGTCCTCTGGTAACAAGAGGTGTAGATGGTGGTCCAGTAATAAGAGAAGATTCTCCAGAAGTCTTTCTCTTAATCTCGTCAATTTTTCTTTTGACCTGTTGATTTGGTACAACTGATAAAGGTATATTCAATATAGCCAACGATTGCAGATATTCATCCCAACCTGTAGGTCTCTGGCTGTCAGACATGTTGTGAGAAGCAGTCACTCCTCTTATCAAATCATACACATGAGACCCTTTAATAACATTACCGTTAAACACAAACTCCCCACGTTCAGTCCATGCAGATATGTTTTTTGAGGAGGACATTTTATCCAAAATATGCTGAGCTTTATTCCTTTCTTCCAAAACAAAATCTCATCCCTTCTTCATTCTTCTGCTCTGAAGAGTAAAAAATCCTCAGCGACCGGCACTGACAAAGTTAGTGTGTTCTGGTCTTTTTCTCCTTGTTTTACCATGGTGAGAAATCTCTGCAAAGAGATGGAATATTGTTTTGCTTTTTCATGAAGATCTTCAGTCTTTTGATCCAGAATGTCTTTTATAGTACGATCCAGGTCATTTTCAACAGTTTCCCGAATAGACTCGTGTGCCAGAGGTCGTCTTAAAAGATCAAGCTGTTGTTTAGGTACCAGAAACATTTTTTGTGCATACTCCATAGTTATCTAAGATTGTCTTGAGGCAATAAGACTCGTTATAAAAGGCACAGCGATACTCAGGAGGGGGAGAAGAAAACCCCCAGACTGTTTAAGCAGCGTCTTCTTTTTCTTTGAAGCGTAAACCCTTTTATTGGCGAGCAGTCTAATCCCCGCCTTCTTCTTCATTAATTTTTGATACTGTGTCTTATTTAAAGGGATTTTACCTTTTAAAACATTGTAAGCTATTTCGCATTATGATACCAAAAGGTCTGGTGATGTAGATTTAATAATATTCACTCTCTGAGATGGAGATGCTCCGTGCATAGATTGCATTAAAGACAGGTTTCTTTTAATGTGCTCAGACATGTTTATTCAATTTCTCTTAGGCACACAAACAACAGGCAGGTCTGAAAGCAAGTCAGTTCTGAGTCTGAAATCATCGGTGTCTTAGCTTTATAGTCAATCAATAACCACAAGGAACACTCGTGGCATTGTCAAAACAATCCGTAACAAAATGATTCTTCCCAAGGAAACCTTTGTCTAGCCATTAGCATGTCTTGGTATTTGTCTCTGAGTTTTTTAACAAAACAAGATAATTGGTGTTCAAATTAATAGTACGGCTAACTTTACCTTGAAAAAACTAATTCTAAACTAGGTATAAACAACTTAAATTTCTGTGATGCACATATTTTGTAAAGACATTTTGGACCTCAATGTTACTGCTAGCATCACTCATTAAATCATCAATAATCAACAAATTGTTTTTATCTACAGGCAGCAATACAAGGGTTGCCAGCACGAATAAATATATACAACATTTTCAATATGTTTTGAAATGAGCTTTTCTGCAATCAACATTTTCACAAAATATGTTCTAACACTGTTGGAAGGACCTGACACAATTAGACTAAAAGGATGCTGTAGTCTAAAATAAAAACCATCAGTCTCTCTAACAGCCATTTCAAAAACCGTATGGTAAAGTTCTCAGATCAGAAAAAAAACACTGCGTTTCGTGTACACGACTTTTTAGTTCGAAAGCCTTTTTATTTCTCACTATAGTGTCTGATTTTGTCATCACGTGTCGCGGCGTCTCGTCAGAATTCTCAAACTCATGTACAAGATCAATCAGTGAGTGCAATAAATTTTCTTCTGGGTTTGACAATAACATATCAGCCGACTTGCATTTTATGATTGTCGACTTTTTGCTGCTTTACATTATCTTCACCAGCAGATCGCGTGTCTTGCATTTTGTTAATGAACCTTTGAGTCCTGAACTATCTTTGCTACAAGCAATAATGCGTCAGACCGCTTCATTTGGCCATCACTAACTGAGAATCTTGACTGACTGTGTGAATTATATGCAGTTGGCATGTAGTTTCTTTTTCAGCAACGCAACCATTCTTATAAAATGAAACAGTCCCTTCACTCCTGGTTTCAATAGTAAAATATCACAAAAATGACGATTACCAACAAATAACATTATATTCTAAGCAGATGTGTTTCAAACAGCATAAATCACAGAGTAACATTTGTATTTCAAACAAATAGGAGTCTTATTAGCAAATTTCCTTCAACACAATGAATCATGGGAATACTGAGGGACAGCCTTTAAGCTAATACATATCATAGCTATCGGTTTTGTATGGTCCTCAACCTCTAGTCCATCTGCATTCAGGCATCTCTCCTCTCCCTACACTATGGTTTTACCACCACATTCTGCAGACCGTTTATGTAAGTCTACTTAAACTAAGCTAAGATCGACTCTTACTTTCATACATTTTTTCACTTTCCCAAGCCATCATCTTTGGAAGTTCATTAAAACTAAGATCAACTCTTACTTTCTTCACTGACCCCCATTCGTATGTAGGCTAATGTTGTAATTAGTCTTTTCTATTACCACAATGGTGTGTTTTTGTGTATATGGATAGCATACTGTTTGTGTTGCTTGTTTGTTTTGATGAGTATTAGTAGTTATCTTTTATGTTTTTAAATAAAAATAGGATTCTGAATAACAATGTGGGGAACATGTGCATCATATGATTAAATTAAGCTAATGCTCTTAATTCCTTTCCTAATTGTGACAATAAATGCATCTTAGATTTGGGCCAGTGACATTTAGTTATTTTGATAAGTAACATTGAGCTTTCTCTTTTGTTAAAATAAAAATAGGCTTCTGAATAAGACTTGTACTGGGACTGAAATTCAGCCAGGGACTTTGAGAGGGAGAGACCTTTTATGCGAGTGCCCTTTAGGGGGCGGGCAGACTGATTTTTTGCAGTTATTTTAATACGTATTAGTTTTTTTGTTGTACACAGTGAATCAGATTATGATGAAGACCTTCAAGAAACCTCAGAATGACACCCGCCGTTTTATTTCCACCACTTGAAATCTTTCCACAGTTGTTTTGTTTTTCAGCTCGACGGCCATTTTGTCTAACATGAGTTTGCAAGGATGCATAGAGACAAGCAACCCAGGAAATGGCTGGGAGAGAAACCCTGTTACGTGGCCTATGAAGGTTACGATGATACCTTTTTAACATTACTGATAGTATGAATTGCATACAATTGATTCACATTTCATACTAGGTGTGGCTATACTTATACCTATAAAATGAAACATTCCCTTCACTCATGGTTTCAAGTGTAAACTATCACAAGAATGACAATTACCAACAAAATTATTATTATTAACATTATATTATAAGCATACATGTTTAAAATAGCATAAATCAAGTGTTTTTTTCCCCTCCTTGCTGTGTGGGTCCCCATATTACTTCAATAAAATAGTTGTTCTTTTTTCTCCTCTCTGGCTATGCGGCAGGATACTGCAATAGCCATCCTTCAGAGTCACAGGAGAACGTGAAGAGTAGCCTAAATAATCACTCATGCATTTGTAACTTTGTTATTGAGAAAGTTTAAAACAAGAACGAATAAAGTAAATAATCTGTTCATGCATTTGAACCAGCTTGTTACTTAGAAAGTTTAATTGTCATTATTATTTGCTATAAGACAGTTTAATCACAGAAAAGCATACATAAAATTCACACTGGCTCTCATCACCCCCTCCTTCCTCTATGGGACGGTCCAATCTCCTCTTTTCACAACTACAGTAGGTGTTACTGCATGTCAGAGACTCACACACCCACAACCCATATTACGCATTCCAACACAAGAGGACGCAAGATTCTCAGAATTATATGCTTTAAAATGTTGATATTTCTCCCTGCATATTGATGAGGCATAAGGATTATAATACACTTTATCTAAAATAATTTAGCTGCATATAGAGGGATAATAATTGTAGTTAATATAATTTTCATAGGTGCCTTAAATGGCTGTATTGCACAACCACCCCTACCCCCCGTGACATCCGCACCACCGATCTACTCAAAACCTATGATCTTTTTTGTATTTTAACTTACTGTGAAGTAATATAAATTATTATAAATAAGCTGCAGAAAGACAAAGTTAAAGACCCATTTTAAGTGGAATATTCAGATGAGTTTATTTTATTGTCAATTATGCATGAATTTAACTTTACACACAGAGCAGGTACACAGCTGCAGGGACTGAAATTACGCCTGGGACTTTGAGATGGAGAGGCTTTTTATTTGAGTGCCCTTACGGAGTAAGATTTTTTACAGTTATTTTAATACATATTAGTGTTATTGTTGTACACAGTGAATCAGATTATGCCGAAGGCCTTCAAGAAACTTCAGGATGACACCTGCCTCCTCAGTTTGTATAAGCAAGGCAGCTCTGCACTGAACAAGACCAGGTCAGGCAAGCCTGAGTCAGTCAGAGCGCTAAAATAATTTAATATAAATCAAAAACTATAATGCAGTCCCATGAAATACAGCAGTGTGTGCATAAAAATCAAATCCCTTATCTTCAGCTCTGAGTAGGCCTATTCCTGTGCTGGACCCTCTGCTTGTATTGAATTTACAGCTACATGTGCCTGAGAAGAACATCAGTAATAAATATGATTAACAATAATCCATTTTCTAATTCTATCTATGAATAATATGATTGCCTACTCAGCCCTGCTCAGCCCCTGTACCCATTTTGTCTGGTTCCATTGACCTTCTCCTCCTCCTGCTGTTCCTCCCCTTCTTTCTCTCCTGCCTCATCTGCATCTGCCACAGCAACCTTTCCATCCATAATAAAAGTATTAGTTTGGCCCATTCTGATAGACACACAGACAGCACTCCACTGTAGCTGGTCGCGGATCATTAAGTAAGACATTAGAAACTGAAAATAAAAACTCTTGACCACCAGCCGGTTCGGCTTGAAAGGGACCAGCCATTCGGGAATCTTCCCGAACTCCCCGATTGCCATTCCGCCCCTGCACAGCTGTAGGGTATACTGGCCGAATAGTAACAGGCAAATAAGTGTTAAATGTTTGTGTATGTCTACACAAAGAGACATGGAGTTACACAAGGCATCTAAAATGTATCTTTAATAAAATGCAGGTCAAAATTATAATGGAATCAGTGACGACCTGACGACTGACCGCACTTCACTCTTCAAGCTGTAAAAGAAAGAAAAAAACTATATATAATTCACTGTGAAGACTTACTGTCTCAGCAGCTGTTATTTTTCTTTATTTTGTTTTAGGTTTCAAAACATTCATAACAATTAATTTTATAATTATTGGTTGAATTTGACATTTAAAACATTATAGCTTTTTGTGGTTGAAGTTAAAATGTTTTAGGTTTTTGGTCATTGAAGAACTTTAAGAAACTTAGTGCTTGCGTATGTTATTACAGACCTGCAGCACAAGGGTAGATGTATTCTGTCTCAGCCTGGTCACCTGAGAGGAAAAGCAAGAAGTAGAAGACAAATTTATAAAACAAAAAAAGCATTAAACTTTCTTATATGTTCAACAGTCTAACACATAGTTCAGGTTGTTGTGCAGCTCTACTAAGGAGCAGAGTTTGTCAGTGTGGTCTAGAGAGGACTGAGTATCTGACTTACTTGGCTGGTAGTAGTCATAGATCTTGACCACGGCTGGCTTCAGGTTCTGCACTGTGAGCTCCTGTAGGAGGTCTAAGCTGTGGTTGATAGCTATGTCCTTTGTTAACTGTTGGAATAAAAACAGACGACACGTCAGTCACAAATCTGGAGAGCATCATCTATTAGGGGTGGGGGGAAAAAAATCGATACAGCATAGTATCGTGATATTTGCCGTGGCAATACTGTATCGATACACGGACGCCAAGTATCGATATTTTAGTATATAAATTGCAGATGGGAGTTTTAACTTTTTGGTACTAGAATAATAAAATCTATTGCTTTTTTAGTCCACTAGAAAACTTAACAGGACCATATGGAGGACTGAAAAAGTGATATGAACAAACAGAGTATTGTATCTTTTTAGATAAACAGATGTTGACAAAGTTTGACTTTAGGGACCTAATTGGAAGTTGGAAAAAGGTAATAAATTGCAATATATATCAATATATTTAAAATCGCAACATAAATATCGTGATAATATCGTATCGTGGGGCCTCCGGTGATTCCCACCCCTATCATCTATTGTTTCTCACTGTGAATCCCTCTCACCTCCGTTATGTACACCAGAACGTGATCTTCCTTTTCTTCAACACGATCCACCAGCAGGGCACCTTTGAGCTGTGAGGAGACGACATTCAGCTGAGTCGTTTATTGAACACTATTCATTTCCTTCTCAGGTTAAAGTCACTGTAATAACTCACCCTCCTCAAAGACTCTGGGTCTGGGACAAAGCCAGAGAGCATTTTGATGTCCAGGATCACCATGTTTGTAGTGCTTGCTGTTCCACTATATCTGCAATGCAACCAGAAAAATGTGACGTTACTCAGACTTCATCCTGTTCTTCATAGTTCTAATAGTTGAATGCAGAGACAGAAAGCCTTCATTTACAGTAAAGACATGTTTATATATACCAGAATACATATACAAATATACCAGTAATCATTTCTCACATGTCCATCCACCAACAGTCAGTAGCTGGTAGATTCAGAGGATTGTTTGTCATAAATTACAGTATTCTTCAATCATTGCTGTAACATGGATCTAGTGTTGTTGATTACTTACAGGGACTTTAGCTTCAGAGTGAGTTTGGGTCTGAGAGATGTGCAGTCGGCCTCTGGTTTGACCTCCACACTGAGAGTGGTGACAGCAGCAGGAGTTGGGATGTTATAGTGAAGAGAGATCTGGGAAACAGGGACACAGGGAGGTTTAATAGTCATAACAACTGAGAGAGAGAGCGAGAGAGAAAGGCTACACACTGGGTCGCTACACTTGCAGCTCAACTCTTGGCAGTAGTACAGTAGATTATTTCATTACAGATCCAATGTCTCTCAGCCTCACTGGCCTATACGGTACCACCAAGCATAAAACCCTTCTGCCCAGAGCCATAAATGAGCCACCCAGTCACCCGCTGTACATGGCATTGGTATCGGCATGCGCACAAGCACCGATGGCGCAACATGGGAGCGCACCCCGCCCTGGTGGTCTATATGTAGGCCGCTGCAGCCCTGTTGTCGGTGCAGACCAGCATGTGCTGGTCCCGCTGCACATGTGAAGTGTTGGATCACCTTCCACACCGTGAGGAGCTCCGGCACGTTTATGTGGAGAGGCATGTGGCCCTGCCAGACTGCCTACCACTTGAGAGAGGCAGGTCCCGCCCCAGCCCATCAGGGAGGCGTCTGTGAAGACCGAGATATGGGACGTGACCCTGCCCAGGGGAACCCCAACCAACAGAGAGAGGGTGTCCCGCCAGTAGGCCAGATCCGAACCCACAGACAGAGGAACAGCGATCAAGCGCCATCTCTGTCTCACCGGGTCGACACGCAGGCAGATGAACCACCGCTGCAACCTCCTCATGTGCATGAGGCCCAGGGGGACCACCACGTGAGAAGCTGACATGAGGACCAGAAGTCTCACGATCGACAGAGCTGTCACCACTGCCCGTGGGACAACACGGCGGAGCAGCTCCACCAGAGCCTCCACCCATCCCTGAGAGAGCCGGAAGAAGAGTCAAGTACCACACCCAGGTAAGTGAGCCTCTGGGAGGGGAGAGGAGCGCTCTTCTTCCAGTTCACTGTGAAACTCAGGTGAGACAGGTGTGCGACAAGCTCGGCCTTTTGCACCATGTGGACGGGTCGGTCCACATGGTCGGACCTGCTGATGTGGCACCCTGGTGGCCATGAAGGGAAGCCACTCTGCTGCCCCTGCCGATTGGGGGGAGGTGCACACCCGTGACCCATGGGGGGGGCCTGCCTCAAAAGGGCAGGGATGCCGGTCGTGGGGAGGCCTGGCAGGCAGCAACCTCCGTGTTCCACCGAATAGGAGAGTTTAGCACCTGGCGAGAGTAGGGGAGGGTCATGGCCGCCAACACACGCCGCCATGCAGAAGGGAGCGCCTCCCTGAGTGGCGGGCATGTGCGAGTCAATCTGACGGCAAGGCGCAGCCACCATGGGAGGCAAGCCAGTACACACTCCACCAGGGCCACATCGTGGGAGACCTTCACACATACAGTCAGAGGGGTCTGTTTGGGTGTCCTCCCGTGTGTGGAGGGAGGGACCACACGAGGCAGCATAGTCGCCCTCTATTCAATGCTTTTGAGTCCACCAGCTGTGGCCGCAGCGCGTCCCAGAAGCGTCCCAGAAGCTCTCCACTCCGCTGAGAATAGGTACCAGGTCTATTTTTGCCGCTAGCCACGTCAAGCAACACAGAGCAGATCGAACCAGGCAGGAAGTCAGACACATAACAGCAGAGAGAATCCGGTAAATTTTCAAAATAAAACACCCATTGGAGACTCCCGATCGTCAAACAACACTGTTAAAACGGACACAAAACAAAATCATTTAACGGCGTAGCCTACTTAATCATAGAAGAGCAAAATGCAAAGACTGATTACCAAATCAACAAAATCTAAACATGTCATCAAAATCAGGCAGGCTAAATGCTCTGATTCTGTAATGCTCCGCATAGGAAATGCAGCCTGAAGGTGATGGAACGAAACAGGGTCACAGAGCTGTGGAGAAGGTAGTAGAAGCACAAAAATGACAAATTAATAACAAGTAAATAACATGGGGCAGGCTGCACGCTCTGCTGCTGAAACGCTCCTGACATGCTTCCAGTAGACTTTGACACCGGACTATGGACGCATCAAAACCGTGGCGCAGCCGTAAAGTGCCGTAGCCGGAGTCTGTGGATTCACGGAGTAACAGCACATAGTCACACAGATGGACCCCAGACAGCATGGGGGCATACCAAAAGGCACTGTAAAATCTAAATATACATGATTTAACTATTTTATTTCGAACTGAAACATTTTTGGACAAAATCAATTACATTTTTCATCATTTGGCTCTATTGTCTAATTTAAAAGCCTCCAAACCAAAACCTCAACAAATGAACAATAACAAATGGTTTGACACTGAATTCAAAAACCTGAGGAAAACTTTAAGGAAATTATCAAATGAAAAGCATAGGGACTGAGATAACCACAACATACACTGTCAATATGAGGCCACTCTGAAACAATACAAGTACACTCAAAAAACAAAGAAAGAACAACACAGCAAGAACCAGCTCTGTGAAATTGAGGAATCCTTAGAGTCCAACCAGTTCTGGGAGAAATGGAACAACCTAAATAAAACCCAGCAGGATGAATTGGTGATCCAAGATGGAAATACTTGAATTAATCACTTCAGTGAATTATACAGTAATATTACAAAAAATGATGATCAGTATCAAGATATTCACAAAATGGATCGAACAAGAATTAACAGAAGTCATCCAGTCCCTGAAAGGAAAAAAGGCTTGTGGTATTGATGGAATCCTCAACGAAATGATCAAATACTCAGACCATAAAATCATATTGGCTATACTAAAACTATTCAATACTATTCTATCAACTGGAACTTTTCCAGACATCTGGAACAAAGGTTTAATAACCCCAATTCATAAATCCGGAGATAAATATGATCCAAATAACTACAGAGGAAATGTGTATCCAGTAATCTGGGAAAAATATTCTGCAACATCATTAACAAACGCCTTGTCATCTTTCTTGACGACCATAATATTCTGCATAAATGCCAAATTGTTTTTTTGCCAAATTGCCGCACAACGGACCATATATTTACCCTCCAGACTTTAATAGATCAAGAATTAAACATTAAGAAAATAAAGGTATGCCTGTTTTGTTGACTTCCAAAAGCCTTTGATTCCATCTGGCACGAGGGCCTTTTCTATAGGCTACTTGAAAGTGGCATTGGGGGAAAAAAAACATAGGACAGCCTCAGGACAGCAACACCAACTCAAACAGAACAAACCAAATTATCAACAAGCAAAAGGACAAATATACTGAATACAGGAAAGAAACGAACAAAACACAAAGTTAATTCCAATGTTATCTGACCCTAAAAAGAGAATTCACACTGGCAAATTACCTGAGTACAATAAAAGGTCCTAAACTAAGAAAAATGTTGACAACATACAGACTGAGTGAACATAGCCTGGCCATAGAAAAGGGTCGCCACAGACAGAGCTGGCTACCACCAGAGGAGAGACTGCTCCCAGTGTGACAGGGGACAGGTAGAGACAGAGCTGCACTTTCTAACCTCATGCCCTAAATATAAAACACAAAGACAAAAACACTTTGCAAACATTTCCCAAATATATCCCAAATTCGAATTCAAATCAGACACACAGAAACTCCCCTATTTACTGGGAGAAATGCTCAAATGTGAAATAATTGCTGCAAAATATGTCTCCTCGTGCCATGAAGTGAGGACAACCAGTGGAACCTCAGACTAACAATTGTACAGATTTTCAAATTATTATTATTTTGATTATTTGATATTTTAGTAATTTTTTTGTTTGTTTTTACATTTGACACTGATTTCTTTTTTTTTAATCAATTAATTAAAATTACACACGCTTACCGTTTTATTTTTTTTATTTTTTATATATTTTTATTTTTTAACACACACGCTTACTGTTTTGTTTATTTATTTTATTTTTAATATATATTTTTTCAACACACACACTCTTACTGTTTTATTTTATTTTTAATATATTTTTATTTTTTTGACACACACACACTTACTGTTTCACATAGGCTTTGATTACTTTACGCTTTAATTACTTGTTTAATGAAATGTATGGGGCTGATTGTTCTTATGTTGTATATATGATGCTTTGGCAATGTTGTTACATTCATGCCAATAAAGCTAATTTGAATTCTGAATTGAGAGAGAGAGAGAGAGAGAGAGAGAGAGATAACATAATGTACAAAATTTACTATGTGTATTTACAAATTTGAGATGTATACTCAATTGCAACTGTGTGCATATTCAGGATGTGCAAGTTAGTATCACTTGCTAATATTGAGATCATTCATGTGTCCTTCAGTATCCTCTCCCTGCCCAGAGGGGAGCTGTTGTGTACTGTGATGGCATTGGGTAAAGACTTCCTACAGCGGAGTTGTAGGAGTCTCCACCAGAATACACTGCTGCTCGACCAGCAGGTTGTGCAGCGGATGTTAAGTGTTGTCCATGATGTTAAACAGCTTGTGTAACATTCTTCTCTCCACAACCAAAGAAAATTGCGCTTTCGACAACACACTGTGCATCTTTCTGCATGCATTAAATGACCGAAGCTTCCTCAAGAAGTAGAGTCTGCTCTGGCCCTTTTTGACAAAATCTTTTTGTAATAATTTAAATAGTTAGATTAGATCATGTAGCATGCTTCACTCATTTCATCCACCTGTGCCTCTCTAATCCAAATCACCTGCACATATGTATATAAGCCTGACTAACTCCTTCCGCTACCGTTTCTCAGTTCTCACATCCCTCGCCCTAAAGCCTGTTTCTCACCTCTTTGAATGGGCAGCACAGTGGCCGAGTGGACAGCACTGTGGCCTCATAGCAAGAAGGCCCTGGGTCCAGACCTTGGTCAGTCCAGGATTTTCTGTGTGGAGTTTGCATGTTCTTCCCATGTTTGCGTGGCTTTACCCCAGGCACTCTGGTTTCTTCCCACCATCAAAGACATGAATGCTAAAAATTCATAATTCTGCCAAAGTAATTGTTCTTTTTCTACCACAGGAACCAAGGGAGATCATAAAGCAAGACGCTTCTACAGATGTACCCCCACCCTGAGTCTCAAGCCCAGGTACCTAGCCAGGGGATGCTAACATTAGGACATGGTTATGTTTGCAGTGTTGTGTTTGTTTATGTATGTCAGAGAAACAGGAAGTGCTGCAGTGACAGTGACCACTGACCTGCACTGAAGCACATGCAGAGCCCTTCACCTCCAGGCTGTACTTTCCTGTCACTTCCTGCAGCAGCTTCTCCTGGTAGAGCAGTTTGTTGTTCTGATTCACATCAAATGTCAGCTGGCCACTGGGAGACTGGACTGTCACTGTGCTGGAACCCTCTGGACTGAACACTCTGGTGGAGTAGAGAGCCAGGGCCTGGAGAGCCACCACCGTGTCCTACAACACACAACATAACAATTACTTTATGGGCTTAGATCCAAATGGAAATTGTGACTTTGGTCAATCTGGTTTTTACATATAGGAATTCACGTTTATAAATTTCAGTTTAAACTTTTAACCTAGATTTTCATATAAAAACAAATACTGGCTGCCTTTAAAGTAAGATAATTACAATTTAAAACACGGCAGTATGCTCAATAGGCATGTATGTGATTTGTAGTAAATGAGCTATTGATAACTAGGGGTGGCTCGATACCACTGTTCCATGTCCGATACCGATACCTGGGCTTTGGGTATTGGCCGATACCGAGTAGGATCCGATACCAGTGTAAAATGAATAAGCTGTGCACTGTTTCCCACACATAGACTTGGACCGGCAGACCGGGTATATTTGGCGACCCATTTTAGCATTTTGCAGGGAAAGACAGAGAGAGATGCCACCTCTTAAGTTACAAGACGCAGACACGGTGGTTCTGTGAGAAACACTGCTGTGTTGCTCACTGTGAGGAAGAGCCTGGGAGTCATTCACCATGTGTAGGGCAGCATTATATAAGATTTGGTGTGATTTGGCGCCCCTCCCGATCAGAGTGTAATGTAAATTCACCGCTGTCATGAAACGGGACAGCTGCATGCGGGCAAGACACAGCAAGCCAGCTAATAAGTTATTACTTACTATTCCAACAGAAAGAAGGCCAGCTCGCCATCTGTCCTGCGTACTTTTAGCTTTCAGCTCACAGCAAAGAGTAAAAGCCAGCCCGATAGTTACTCTTGTCTGGTCGCTTGCTCCTTTTTCTCTTGCTCCGGTAAGTTAACAGAGCCTCTGCCATGATATCCATCCTGAGAATACCAAGCTAGCTATTATACTTTTTGCTTCTTCATATAGCTTGCTTGCTAAAAATGCTACTTTAGCTCTCCTAGCAAAATGTTACTGTCTCCCGACGCACTGTTGTCACATGCGTAGTATGTACTTTATTGAAGTGAACAGATCGGCCCATAGATCAGCCCGTTGTCACCAATAACCGATCCAGCGTTTTGGGTCAGAATCGGACCGATATCAATATCGGATCGGTGCCGTCCCAATTGATAACACTGCTGAAGTCCTTCGAATATTGTAAAAACTGACAATTAATTGTTGAGGCACTGTGTAATGTTGCTGTCCTGTGAAAACCATTTATGTGATTTACAACTTTACAGATAAACTTTAGGATTTAATTTTCCTTTATAGGTTGAGAAAAAGCTCTTACTTCATAAGCTGAATAAAACATTTCCACTCCCACTATATGCTGAAAAATGCATTATTTCAAAGATGAAAATAGGACTCTTTTTTTTTTGTTATACTGTAAATTTAACTTAAAGTCCAGCTGTCTGGGCTGTACCTGTGTAGAGGAGAAGCCTCCATAATAGTTCTGCTGGCCCGTCAACCATCTAACGATGCTGGTGGCGGCGCCCAGGTCTTCAGCAGCGGGAGAGCCGCTGAGTTTGGCCAGCAGCACATAGGAGCTGATCTCCACAGACAGAGAGGCTGACGTTTCTGTCGCTGTCTGAGACCAGTAGAGGAAACCTCCTAAAAACAGCCATCCACAAACAGACAAACAGGCACAGGGTGAGCTACATTCACAGGAATGAAGCCAGAAGGATTTCCTTTAGGATGATGACTCACCTTGGTTTGATGCAACAGTGTCCAGGTGCTTCAGAAGGTGAGCACGGGTCTCCGTTTCTCCTGCCAGGGTGAAGACGTACGCCAGCAGAGCTGTAGTGTAGGTGTTGCTGAGGTCACTGATGGACTCCCTGAGACAAGACAGGCTCTTCTTCACCACAGGATCCTATAACAGATTCGAACACATTATAATAAATGATCTCAGGACTCAACTGATTTTATTGAGCTTAACAAGCAAGTTTATTCTATTTTACAATATAGACATTGACTGCTCTTTAATCTAATTCTTAATTTCAGGGAAACATTAGACAAGGGACTTCGAGGCAATAATTCTAAACAACAGCGCAATGTGAGCTTTACAAAGTGAGGAGACAAAGAGACCAGGAATTATTATTATTATTATAAAAAAAATTATACAAACTTTTCTTCCTTATTGTCTGTGTAAAAGTTGTTGGTTTGTGTCTTATAAAGGAAATTCTTTCAGTTTTACAGTTAAAACAGAGAAATCTTTGTATTACAAGGAGTCAACTCACATTTACGGACGTATTCATCTCCAAGTAGGCAGCAGTGATGTAAGCACTGAGAGTCACTTCATCAGACACACCACCCTGTAGAGAGGAAGCATCATGCAGACGTTATCATCACTGTAGCTCCAACACAGGCGCCAGATTCAAGTGATTTTGAGCATTTTCATAAAATCTCTACAGAGACTGACCTTCATTCTGTTGTTGAAGAGTTTCCCCAGCGGCTGGAAACAGCCATTTTCTCGTTGTTTACCATCCAGCCAAGACTTAGACTCTTCAATCTTTTTTGGGTCAATGTAGATGAAAGACTGTGCTTTGGCAAAAGATCTCAGCACAAAAGCAGTCAGCCTGAGGATATTAACACAAGGTCAAACAATAACTGATACAATGAAGTGAAGAGGAAGCACTTGATCTGTGTAATGTTTCACAATAATCAACACAATATACTAAACATATACTTAATGCTTCAGGTTGGTAGCTTAATTAATTAATGCATTAATTAGAAATACTTATGTACAAGCTTGTGTGTTCACATTGCACATTGGTGGTCCTACTGTGAAGAAGTCACATTTTCCATAACATGCAAATGTTTGCAGGATTTTGCCCCACAGTGTGGTTTGTATGGAAAAATTTAGTGCCTAAATGTATTGTAGCTGTGTGAAAAAGTTTTGAACTTGTACATTCAAATGTTTGAATGTGTAAAAAATATCTGAACAAATACTGTAGATTTAAATTTTGTTACACATCTACAGTATGTTTTGTATTTGCAAACCACACTGTATTTGTAAGTGAATCATAGGGCATTTGTAAAACAAGATTTGGCAGGATGTGAAGTCACATCATCTATTTTCTGTTGTAAGTATAAAGTTTTTTTTTTTTTTCTTGAGATCAACTGTAAATGTTCCACACCTTGTACATATAATTATACTTTGTGGATGACTGATCAGTGATATTCTCACCAAGTGTTCCCCGGTCCTGATCCAAATGTGCTGTAAGCACCGTCGCTATGTTTATAGTTCAGCTGTCTCTGGTAGCCTGTAAAACAAGAGCAATACGCTTATTAGGGCATTAACGATTTACTCAGATTTGAAAGGTATTGTGCATGAACGTGTTAAGAGCGTGTTCATTAAATGTGAAACCATTAACTAAGGGTAAGACTACAAACTAGCAGCTACAAAGTTCCTCCACACAAGTCAAACTCACAGCATTTTGTAAAGGACAAAAATGGAAGAAATTAATGTGAACTGAATTTTTTGGGACTGTGAAAATTCTTAATTATGAACTGTGAACTAGTTCACTTTAATCTGTGCGAACTGAACTTTGAGCTATGTATAGTGTGGAATCGCACAACACTGGCCTCTGATCTCTAATTGCAATGATGAGCACTGTCAAGCGATGACGCACAACAGATCTTCTGCTTATATTGTGTGCAAGCAGCACCAGACTGTTAAAGATGGTAAGTTTTGGATATTTAAAGATCTTAAATGTTTCTTTTATTCTGTAATTTAAAGTTAACAGTGACTCACCACTGGTCAGGAAGTTGGTAGCCTTCTCCTTGATGGCTGCGGTCAGCTGCTGTGTGTTTTCCAGGTACTGGAGGATGTAAATGTTGGGGGCCAGGAGCGCCATGTTCTGCTCTCCACATCCATACGGCATCTTCAGCAGCCCATCCAGGTTCTTCAGGGCTCGGCCCAGAATGTCACCTGCACAAGAACACGGATTCACTAAGACCCTGCAATCAGTTTAACAACGCATGCATTTAGAAAACAGGCTGCAAATACAGACAACACAACCAAATACACAAACACACTGCAAATACACAACAAGAGAGAGAACAGTAAATAATGCTGAACACAACTTTAATGTTGTTGCGGTTTGTGACTCCTGAAGTTATTGAAGTTGGGTCTGTGTATGATCCATTTATGTTTATGTTGTGGGTTTCTTCTGCTACTGCTCTACTCTGCTCATGTGCTGAAAGTGACCACTGCACAAACCATGTAGTACCTTGAAGAGCAAAAAATTATTCTGGTACACTTATTGTGTAAGTGTATTGTAATATTAACCATCACTATCCAGCCAAAAGTGTTGACAGACTGCTTCCTTCACCAAGTAATTACGCTCACCGGACACTTTATTAGGTACACCTGTTCAATTGCTGGTTAACACAAATAGCTAATCAGCTGATCACACGACAACAACTCAATGCATTTAGGCATGTAGACAAAACGTAGCAAAACGTTTTTTTCAACGGAAACAGTGGTGCCTTGAACACCCTGTTGTGTACGCAAGCGCACCACATTTTCCTGCCCCTGTAACACCGTTGTGTTTACAAACTTGTCGCAACTGACTGGGTAACACCTGTGACATGCCCACCAAACAGAAGAAAACATACCTCGAAGCCCATTGCGGAATGTTGCAAACGTTTTGAGATTTAACTCGCCCCTGGTCAAGACAACTTGCTCAAGTTCAAACCGAGCATCAGAATGGTGAAGAAAGGGGATTTAAGTGACTTTGAACGTAGCATGGTTGATGGTACCAGATGGGCTGGTCTGAGTATTTCAGAAACTGATGATCTACTGGGATTTTCACGCACAACCATTGTTGTTGTGTGGATGAAAATGGCTTGTTGATGTCAGAGGTCAGAGGAGAATGGGCAGAATGGTTCATAGCGCATCACAGGATAACTGTCTATTCTCCCTGCTTAAAAACTTCAGTGAGGATTTAACATTTTGCAGATGGGTTTAATGCAGGAAACCCTGCACACTGGAAGAAACCCTATTTATGTGCACTTTACAGTCTCTCATCTATATCTCTGATTAAAAGCAATTTAGTAGCGAATTGTGGTGTGATGTGGGGTGTCCAGCAGTTAAATATTCTAGATTTCCCAATAAGGGTAGATATAATTGTAAGTTACATGGAAGATTTCAATCAATTAAAATGAATTTATTATCTTACCCAGGACTGATAGTGAAGCACGGGCAGATCCATCAATCATGTTCTCAGGGAGTTGGATGTCTATTTCCTCTGTCACAGCTTCCCCTGTGAACAGACAGAACAAACACCTTTCAGAGAGAAACTCAGTACTGAAACAAAGATGTCATTTTGATTGAAGTAATAGTTTGTGAATTAAAACAAAATTGGAGGTTCTTTGAACATGATCAGCTCTTCCATTAGGTTAATAAAATGTAATAAATGTAGTTAAGTAATGTAATTAAAAAAATATATATACAAATCAGACACCTGCGCTAAACTTGGCACTTGCCATAATCACAATGAAACTAATTTCTACCTGCAAGTACTGAATGTCTCTATTGCATTTTTGACACACTATCTACTCGACTCCTAACACATAGCATTTGGCTCTCTATGTAAACGTTTGACGTGCCATGCCTGGTGTAAAACATACTGACCTTTTGGGCAGAGCAGAAAGTTGTAGGTCTTGGTGATCTCAGTTCCCTCAGCCTGAGAGGAAGAAATAATATGACTTCCAAAGTTTCCAGCTTGTATTAAATGCAAAAAATAATGGTTAATGGATAAACTTGTCTTTGTCTTCTTGTTTTTAAGGTACCAACCTTTACTATGAGAGATCGTGTGACCACGTCGATACGTCCTCTCTCTGGAACACTCACAATCTCATTGTCACATGAAGTGTGGGATGCCACAGCCTCAGCCGTCACAGACACATTCACAACCCCTAAAAAACATCAACAAGCAGAGTGAAACTTGAGTAACAACTTCTTCAGATCCTGTCGTGTGTCAAAGTGTCACTGAGGTGTATTCTACTGATTTCATAGAGATGAAGAGGAAAGACAGCAACCCTTTAACATTTGACACCAGTGTGGATAAAAGCTTGATCCTCACCCAAGACTGAGGGGGCCATGGTCCAGCTGAGGGTCTTGCGCTCACTGCCACACAAACAGGATGTGTACTGGTCACCAGAGAGCGGAGTGAGGGTGTAGTCTAAAGAGGGTGCTGGAGTCACAGTGACCTGTTCAACAGAAACAACATTTTATAACTGGAGATTTATGGCAAATACAAACAATTTTGAGCTTTAGAAGGTCAAAATTCAGCTTGCAATTTTTTTGCATTTCAACTTTTGATTGGGCCAATCAATTACAGATTTTAACAATACTTTTATGTAAAGGTTGGTATAAAAATAAATTTCCACCAGAGAACAAATTGTAATACCTTGGTTTAAATCCCTGCAAAACTAATGATATTCCATCAGTCTCAGCTGTACTTTGTGTTTATTGCTAATTAGCAACTGTTAGCATGCTAACAAACTCAAATAAAATGGTGCATATGGTAAATATACCTGCTAAACATCAGCATGTTAGCCTGCTGCCATTATCTTCTAGGTCATGTAAAAGCATTGGTTACCATGATGCAGCTGGACAGGTAGTTGAAGGTGGTTGCCTTCAGTTCAAAGTGCTCCCCCCGGATGATGGAGTAAGGCAGGCTGAGCTCCAGGAAGAAGGGCTGGAAAACATTGATCTCTTTACGAGGAGCCAAGCCAAACCCCTGAGGGGACAAACAGAAAGCCTCCGTCTCCCAGGTGGTGATGGTGTCTGGGACAGTGAGGGACACATCCTTTGTTCCAGACTCTCTGAACCAGCAGATACACACAGACACATTCAGTGAGCTGGAAACATACTGACATTCAGTCCCCTCCAAAAGTATTGGAACGGTAAGGCAAATTCCTTTGTTTTTGTTGTTCACTGAAGACATTTGGGTTTAAGATCAAAAGATGAGGATGAGACAAGAGTTCAGAATTTCAGCTTTTATTTCCTGCTATTCACATCTAGATGTGTTAAACAAATCAGGACATACAACCGTTTGTATTAGACCACAGCATTCTTAGGTGAGTAAAAGTAATGGAACAAATAATCTTTAAGTAAATAACATTTAATATTTGCTTGCAATAACTGCCTCAAGCCTGCGACCCATCGACATCACCAAACTGTTGCATTCTTCATTTGTGATGCTATCCCAGGCTTTTACCGCAGCTTCTTTCACTTCTTGTTTGTTTCAGGGTGTTTCTCCCTTCAGTCTCCTCTTAAGGAGGTGAAATGCAGCTCTGTTGGGTTAAGGTCAGCTGATTGACTTGGCCAGTCTAAAAACTTCCACTTTTTCCCCTGATGAAGTCCTTTGTTTTGTTGGCACTGTGCTTTGGCTCATTGTGCTGCTGCATGATAAACTTCCTCCCCATTAGTTTCAATGCATTTCTCCGGCAGACAAAATGTTTCTGTCCACTTCTGAATTCATTCTGCTGCGACCATCATCAGTTACATCATCAATAAATATTACTGAGCCTGTTCCAGGAGCAGCCATGCACGCCCAGGCCATGACATCACCTCCACCAGGCTTCACAGATGAGCTTGTTTGCTTCAGATCATAAGCAGTTCCTTTCTTTCTCCACACTTTGGCCTTTCCATCACTTTGCTAGAGATTAATCTTGGTCTCATCAGTCCATCAGATTGTGTTCCAGGACTTTTGCGGCTCATCTCTGTACTTCTTGGCAAATTTAAATCTGGCCTTGCGATTCTTCCTGCTGATGAGTGGTTTGCATCTTGTGATGTGGCCTCTATGTTTCTGCTCTCTGAGTCTTCTTCCAACAGTGGATTGTGATACCTTCACCCTGCACTGTGGAGGTCGTTGCTGATGTCACTTACTGATGTTTTGGAGGTTTTCTTCACAGCTCTCATGATATTTCTGTCATCAACTATAGTTTTCCTTGGCCGACCTGTTGGACGTCTGTTGCTCAGTACACCAGTAGTTTCTTTATTTTTCAGGACATTCCAAATTGTTGTGCTTGCTATGCCCAATGCTTGTCCAATGGCTCTGGTCGATTTTCCTTCTTTTCTCAGCTTGACAATGGCTTGCTTTTCTCCCATAGACAGCTCTCTGGTCTTCATGTTGGTTTATCCTCTTTAACAGGAAATGCACTCTTTATAGGTTTGAACCAAGGATGAAAACTTGGACTAGTCATGCAGAGAGCTATTTAATGTTTGGACAATCAGCCTAAAAGGCAACACCTCGGCAACAAGAAACATCTGTCAGTCACATGACAACAATAGTTTCTCACTTGAAAAATGGGTGGGTTCAAACAAAGGGTGATATGTCCTGAGTTGTTTAACACATCTAGATGTAAATACCACGAAGTGAGAGCTGAAATTCTGAACTCTTGTCTCATCCTCATCTTTTGATCTTAAACCCAAATGTCTTCAGTGAACAACAAAAACAAAGGAATTTGCCTTACCTATACTTTTGGAGGGGACTGTAACTCAGATTAGACAAAGAAAAATATTGTGAGAAGATGATTAGTGTGTAGGATTAATTGTACTAATACCACTAAAGTATAGTAATTATTTTGTGTGTATTCATGTGTGTTGGGAGAGAAAAGGAAGTCAGAAGAGAAGCACTAGTGCACATGCTCTATGGGCCCAAATGCACTCAAATGTTCCTAATTTATAACCATTAAAATCCTTTGTGACAGAATCTCACCCAACTTCCACCAGGTCCCATATCCAGGTCTCAGGGAAGAAAGTGCGGACTGTCTCTATTGGTGGAGGAGATCCGACAGCTCCAGCAGCTCCAGCAGGACCATGTAGCCTTGTTAAGAGACTTACTCTTCTATCCATTTTATGTACCCGAGGAGCACTTTCATATCTATAATGTATACCTAAAACAAACCAGAAAACATTCCATCAGACATGACACAGTGAGCTGTTTAAATGCTGGTAAATGTTCAGCATCACTTGATAGTGCCAAAACATAAGTTACCATAATGGCCATGGTGGTATTCTCTTCCTTTGTACTTGAGGCATGAAGGAACTCTGATAACCAAGTTCGTTGCCATCTTCAGCCCTAAATTCTAGTTAATCCAACAACATAAAGGCATCACTGGAAAGTTGATTAAATGTTTAGCAACAGAATGTATAAATATACAGTATTATTTATATTGTATTATTATTTTTTGTGCAGGAAATACCTGGAAAACTGAATGAGCATCATCTTCATTGACCCTTCTAGAGCGCGGTATGGATCTTTTAGGTCTCACAAGCAAGCATTGTACAGGATCTTGAACCTCATGTGGAACAGAGGATGCTTTTCTGACAGGCAACAAGTCAAATATCTGTAAAATAATAAATAAATAAATAAAGGTAGAAAGAAAAGGTATGATTCAAACCTATAAACTGCAGAATGTTTCTTGTTTTATGAAGATGTGACAATTAGGGAACTCTTGGGATTGAAGGCTTACTCTTTCATACATATGTTAGACTCTTACAGAGGGATACACCTCACATACAGTGGGTACGGAAAGTATTCAGACCCCTTTAAATTTTTCACTCTTTGTTTCATTGCAGCCATTTTCCAAAAATCAAAAAAGTTCATTTTATTTCTCAGTAATGTACACTCAGCACCCCATCTTGACAGAAAAAAACAGAAATGTAGAAATTTTTGCAAATTTATTAAAAAAGAAAAACTAAAATATCACATGGTCATAAGTATTCAGACCCTTTGCTCAGTATTTAGTAGAAGCACCCTTTTGATCTAATACAGCCATGAGTCGTTTTGGGAAAGATGCAACAAGTTTTTCACATCTGGATTTGGGTATCCTCTGCCATTCCTCCTTGCAGATCCTCTCCAGTTCTGTCAGGTTGGATGGTAAATGTTGGTGGACAGCCATTTTCAGGTCTCTCCAGAGATGCTCAATTGGGTTTAAGTCAGGGCTCTGGCTGGACCATTCAAGAACAGCCACGGAGTTGTTGTGAAGCCACTCCTTCGTTATTTTAGTGGTGTGCTTAGGGTCATTGTCTTGTTGGAAGGTAAACCTTCGGCCCAGTCTGAGGTCCAGAGCACTCTGGAAAAGGTTTTCGTCCAGGATATCCCTGTACTTGGCCGCATTCATCTTTCCCTCGATTGCAACCGGTCGTCCTGTCCCTGCAGCTGAAAAACCCCCCACAGCATGATGCTGCCACCACCATGCTTCACTGTTGAGACTGTATTGGACAGGTGATGAGCAGTGCCTGGTTTTCTCCACACATACCGCTTAGAATTAAGGCCAAAAAGTTCTATCTTGGTCTCATCAGACCAGAGGATCTTATTTATCACCATCTTGGAGTCCTTCAGGTGTTTTTTAGCAAACTCCATGCGGGCTTTCATGTGTCTTGCACTGAGGAGAGGCTTCCGTCGGGCCACTCTGCCATAAAGCCCCGACTGGTGGATTGCTGCAGTGATGGTTGACTTACTACAACTTTCTCCCATCTCCCGACTGCATCTCTGGAGCTCAGCCACAGTGACCTTTGGGTTCTTCTTTACCTCTCTCACCAAGGCTCTTCTCCCCCGATAGCTCAGTTTGGCCGGACGGCCAGCTCTAGGAAGGGTTCTGGTCGTCCCAAACGTCTTCCATTTGAGGATTATGGAGGCCACTGTGCTCTTAGGAACCTTAGGTGCAGCAGAAATTTTTTTGTAACCTTGGCCAGATCTGTGCCTTGCCACAGTTCTGTCTCTGAGCTCTTCAGGCAGTTCCTTTGACCTCATGATTCTCATTTGCTCTGACATGCCCTGTGAGCTGTAAGGTCATATATAGACAGGTGTGTGGCTTTCCTAATCAAGTCCAATCAGTATAATCAAACACAGCTGGACTCAAATGAAGGTGTAGAACCATCTCAAGGATGATCAGAAGAAATAGACAGCACCTGAGTTAAATATGAGTGTCAAGGCAAAGGGTCTGAATACTTATGACCATGTGATATTTCAGTTTTTCTTTTTTAATAAATTTGCAAAAATTTCTACATTTCTGTTTTTTTCTGTCAAGATGGGGTGCTGAGTGTACATTACTGAGAAATAAAATGAACTTTTTTGATTTTTGGAAAATGGCTGCAATGAAACAAAGAGTGAAAAATTTAAAGGGGTCTGAATACTTTCCGTACCCACTGTATGTGATCATAACTTTGTATAGCAGTTTTATAAATAGGAAAAAAAAATTCAGCATTCAACAGCTCTATTACACAGTTGGTAACACCTGGCAGGGACAGAAAAGGACAAAGTAGTAGTGGCAGAAAACACCTCTGGGTGACTGATGATGTGAATGGTGCTGCAGATTATACAGAGGGCGCAAAAATGTTATGAATATGCAACTATCAGTTCGGTTGATTCTAGCAGTTACCTTGTCTGCATTCAGAGTCTTCCCTGGTTCCTTGATGAGGACACTCTGGTCGACAGCACTAACACCACACAGAGAGTCTGGCTGGGCCGTCACCTGCAGGATGGTTTCCTCTCCTGGAACAGCTGAGGACGGAGAAAACTCCAGCGACACCTGACACATACAGAAAACACATCATGCCATCTGGACTTCAGTGGTATAATGTGTATATGTGTGTAATATGTGTATTTCAATCCCAAAAAGCTAGAATGTTTTATTATAATTTCTTTAGAAAAAATGTCCTATGTTCAATAAAAGGTTATATACTGACCTTTTGTAAAACAAATAATATACACTTTGATTCTACACCTACATCTGACATGCACAGTCACTGCCACGCGTCTCCTTCTCTCACTGACCTTGTGACTGAAGCATTTCTCGGTGGAGAAGTCAGCACTGTTGGCGATCACAGTCTCACTGGGGAGGATGGCGTAAGCTACAACCTGGACGCCTGGTGCCATCTCTGCAGACACTGTCAACTTGAAGGACACCTCTCCCTCAGTCACTGAAACAACATACCAACTGTCATCATTCACATGCCTCCATAGGTCAAGAAAATGCAGCTCAAAGGTGATCAGGTCATGCTAATTTAAAGGGTGATTTTAATGTGTTGTCCACCTGATTTATCTTGTACTTCAACCTTTTTAACTCCTTGCATGAGAATGGCTCCTCTGGATAAGACCTGGAGAATTTGAGAGAAAACAACAGAATGAGTAATGCAATAGTAACACCTCATTTCCTTTAACAGCAGATTACAACACTGCCTGCTGTTCTGGTCTGTGGTTATCTATCATGTTCCTAAGTACTTACTTGAAGTATGACTGTGTTCCATGTCAAAAGGTTTGCTGTATAAGTTCAGTGTGTAGGACATCAATAAGTTGTTCTTCTGCTAAAATACAGTTGCTCTAAAAACAGATCAGGGGCCAGTCTGACAAAGATAGTGTAAGTTACTCTGGCTCTGGTTTTACTAAACTAAACACTTGTCATCCTGAATGACTGGTCTTCCAACTCTCTGGTTACCATCCGGGACTGTAAACTCTGGGTTTACCAAAAAACTATGTTCTCTTGACAGAGGAGGGCTAATCAAATGCAACATCAACATATCCAGAGATCTTTAATGAGATACGATGAAATTATTGATTCCTGCAGTGAAATTCATTCAAAGGAGAACTCTGCAAATTTTACACATAAAAGTGTGAAAAAAAGGGGACACCTAATAAGCACAGTATAACATCAAGTCAGTTACACTTCATGGATATCAATCGTGTTTTCTCTCTGTACCTGTTTAACAAACATCTGCGCACGACGAACACCCTGCATTCTGTAACTGTACTGAGTCTGTTCCCATCCCAGGGCGTCAAATAGGTTACTGATGCTCAAAGCAATTGTCAGACCTTACACTGGTGCAGTGGGCCCTGTGTTGCTCCTGGTGCTCCAGGAGGCCGGCCTCATGTGGCCAAAATATGTAGGCAGAAGGCATTGATGCCGTTAACTGGCCCTCACGTTCCCCAGACCTGAATCTAATTTAGAACCTCTGGGACATTATGTGTCTGTGCATCTGAATTTGCCAAGTAGCACCACAGACTGTCCAGGTGCTCAATGATGCCCTGGTCCAGGTCTGGGAGGAGATTCCCCTGGACCCCGTCTGCTGTCTCATCAGGAGACGTTGTCATACACACTGCTGATTTACATTATGATTTGCCGTGATGAAAGTTACGCAAGTTGGATCAGCCTGTGAGTTTCAACGACTTTTTTACTTAGATTGTCGGTGTGATTTTAAATCCAACCCTCAATTGGTTGGTGATTTTGGCTTTCCACTGACCATTGTTACATCATTTTGTTCTCAACATTCTCAATATTCAGTTAACCATTTCTTTTTTCCTTTCATTGACATCTGATGTATGATTTAAGTGTTCCCTTAATTTCTTTGAGCAGTATATAACTATTATCAAAGGCCCTATTATAGTATAAGATATATACTGTATATGATACATGATATAAAGTTCATTTTAAAAGCATCTTCCCTATGTCGATGTCTCTGAAAGAGAACCGGTGACCAGCTGAGAAATACTTCACCCACCACTCACCAGATACATCACATCCACAGGGCCCCGGTTCTCTCCAACTACAGTGTATTTGATGGAAATGTCTTCTTCTCTGTCACAGAGAAGCAGCTGATCCTTCTTCTTCTTCACCTCCAGGGTGCTGACTGTTTTAGTATCAGGAGAAGAAGGTTCAGCTGCAGACAACACTTGATCTCCAGCCTCATAGTATGGCATTCTATAACCAACGTAGTCCAGCTTCGGTTTGTTGCCAACCTAGATTGCAGAAGAGAAACACCACAAATGAGCTCATGGTGGTAGAGGTAGAAGAATGTTTTGGAAGGTTTATTCAGTTTTTACCGCCAAAGCAAAGGTCTAGGTATAAAAAAAAGTTAACAGTTCCAATATGGGCACCATATGGAGAGGTTAGCTTTCAGATTTTCGGCTGTTATCTTCGTGAAAGACATTATCTAACTGACAAATGATGGTTTACAGGTTGTCATCTTAGTGCTACCTCTTACTTACACGGAGGCGGATGTCCTGTTTAAAGTTTGCTGTGCTGAATGAGAAGGTGGCAATCCCATCACTGTCAGTTGTGAGGTTCTGTACCAGACGTGCTGACCACCTTTCACCCTCAAACAGGTACACTGGCATGTCAGGAATGGGTGTATTATTGTAGTGAACTGCTTTAACCTGTTAGAAGCACAAAGTTGTATCATGGCTTCATTTGGACTGTGAATAGAATCAGACTGAAGAAGTGGAGACCACATGTACTTACTTTTCCCTCCACATTTGATCCTTGGTCATAAATCTTGGGTGTGTCAATGAAGGACAGCTTTCCAACAACATATGAAATCACTATTCTCTTCCCCTGTTGGTGTGAAATACCTGTACAAGAAAGCTCCATTTTACAACAATGTGTATGCCATACTGTTTAAACACATGACATTGTGATTTTTCTTAATACAGTAAATCTCTTTTGAAAATATAATTATATTAAAAAAATATTATACTTGCCCGTCCCCTCCTCTTCCACCTTGGCACTGAGGTCCAGTACATCTCGCAGCACCTTTTGGTCAAGTTTTGTGAAAGTTGACATCTTGAAGAAAAAAGTGGCACAGCCTCTCTTGTCTGTCTAGAAAGTACAATAAAAAAAATGAGAACATGAACAGAAGATAAACTTCCACCCATTAAAACATTAAACTTGTCACTTTGAAAAATTTTTATATTTGTTCAGCTTTACATTTCATCAGTTTTCAGTATTCACAGTTTGAACACACATCATAATGTTAATCCTCACCTACTGTAACTTAACACGAAGAGATGCTTCAGTCTCTCGGTCATGTGTGCATAAAGAACACACAAAGCGTGTAAACACGTAAAAACACACACGGGCAGCGCTAGCAACTGTCAGTGGCAAACAACTTTAACACACTATCAAACACTTGGAATTTAATGTCTTACTTTTTACATTTTAGCTTATTTAGGGGGGAAATCTTTACAGAAATGCCCTCTATTTGCTGTGCACACAAGTCACAAACTAACTCCAGGTTTGCCCATTCAGAATACTGTATGTTTAAACCACACCATTACTGTATATATGGCCAGTGTGAAGCTATGAGATTACAAATTCAGTGTTGCTAGCAGACAGCATTGAATATTTCCAAATATTGTTAGAAGACCCAGGAAAAAGCAGTAAATGAACACTGATGTTGTCAAAAGGACCATATTAATTTGGTAGCTTTTTCAAATTTATATATTTAGACTGCCTAGATTTGGAAGCCAAAAGCTGCTAAAAACACACCTCGGCACAAATGTCAGCTACTGTATTCTATCAAAAAAGTGGACAAAATCAAATACAATTAAAGGGATGAAACACACAGTTTTCTACATTACAGGATACTACATCTGTACTGTAGTACCCCACTCCATCAAATTTACTGTTGCTATGCCTGTTATGCTTGAACACAACGAGAAGATGAATTATTTACACACTTACTTCAAAATAGGTTTAATTCACCATCTGCAATTTGTGGTGAATTTATTGACATCTACACCGATCAGCCATAACATTATGACCACTTTCAGGTGAAGTGAATAACACAGATTATCTCATTACCATGGCAGTGGGTGGGATATATAAGCAGCAGGTGAACATTGTGTCCTCATAGTTAATGTGTTAGAAGCAGGAAAAATGGGCAGCGTAAGGATTTGCGCAACTTTGACAAGGGCCAAATTGTAATGGCTAGATGACTGTATCAGACCATTTACAAAACAGTCAGCAGTGGTCATCAAAACTGATCCAAGGAAGTAAAAGCAGTGAACCGGCGACAGGGTCATGGGCAGCCAAGGGTCAACGATGCATGTGGGGAGCTAAGGCTTACCTGTGTCCAGTCCAACAGACGATCTACTGTGGGTCAGATTGTTGAAGAAGTTGATGCAGGTTCTCACAGAAGCGTGTCAGAACACACAGAGCATACACAGTGGAGTACATGCCTCGATGGGCCAAAAGGAGACCTACATTATGACCAGCAGGCAGTCATAATGTTATGGCTGATCAGTGTATAGCTCACACACCAACACAGCAAGAGGAGGAAGAAGGTATGAAGGTGGAAAAAGGAGCCCAAACATGCTGACCCAATTCCAGATGAACCAAAAGTACTATCTGGATTTCATTTGGCTGCTGTCCAGGCGTCAATGGATTCCTGTGTTTTTTTCCTGCATGCAAGCTTTTGAAAATGATAATCAAATCTGGCCAAGTCTCAAAGCCGTTATTTTCAAAATATGGATTTTGCAACTGGTAAACGAACTTCAAATGCTCTCTGAGCATGCTGAAAGGAATGGACACAAACATGCTGAAACTAATTATCGTCACCAGGCAAGACCGCTTGTTACCCAGTTTACATCCATTCTGTATGGGCATGTGTAATGTCTACCTTTATATGCACCTTGTTTCAGCACAAAAATGAGTTGCCACAACAACTGTACCTGCTTTGTCTCCTTGTAGCATGGGGCAGTTATTTCAGGGACTCCTTCTAAATGATGGATTACAAGGCCACGATAAATATACTGATCAAGAGGTCGGCACAGCTGCACTTCAACACTGCCTGGCACAGGCTGTCCGTATGTATACCTATTTAGAAGGACATAGAAGAAAAACACTGGGTTGTTGAAAAGGAGTCATTCACACCATACTGAACCTATTTTAGATTATCTAAGAGTGCAATGAGTGAAAGGGCTTTTACTTACTTTGCACATACTTCAGCTTTGATTTCTTCCTGCTCAATACTTGCTTCATCAGATGCATTTATTTTTACATCAAATTTTGGCAAAACTGGGGACAAAATGAAATGATTGTTAGCATTCTTGCTTCATCATAAATGCATTGAAATGGAAGGTTAATAAAAATAACTTACCATATTTCTCCACCTTGAATCTGTGATACACTTTATTTTCACCAATCGACACAATGACTTGGTAGGTTCCTTCACGGGCCTCAGAGTTCAGGGAGTAAGAAAGCTGCAGTATTTTACCATTCGACGCTTTGTTCAGCCACTGCCCAATCCTGTTGTTGTTAGCATCCTGTGCAATAAGGCAAATGAGAAGAACATGTATTTATGACAAAAACAGGATACTAATGTGAATACAGGGTGACAGTACACATGCCACACAGATATACACTGCTGACCATGCAGCTTATTGTTCATTTTTCTCCTTCAACAAGATGCCAGATGAAACTGGGCCATTCAGTGACAAACTGTTCTTCACTTGTAAGAAACTTACTAACATTTTGACAACATATTATTTGACACTATTCTAAATCAGATTTCTACCAATGCATCAGTAGGCTAATATTAGTGTCCAGTTGCAGATACAGATGTGGACAAAATTGTTGGTACCTTCGTTTAAAAAAAGAAAAACCCACAATGGTCCCTGAAATAACTGAAATTGACAAAATTAATAATAAAATAAACATTTAATTAACTGATGAAATCAGACATTGCTTTTGAATTGTGGTTCAACAGAATCATAAAAAAAAATGGTTTGTGGTTCAAAATGTACTAGTCTTATACTTGCCATTATTGTTCATAAATGCCTTGTTTCTAGGTTGGCCCTGACAGTGTTGGAGCCCTAGGTGAGATTTTAGATTGGCGCCTATTTCTGAATCAATTTGTAGTGGAAATGTCTCTTTCAAAAATTCAACCGGCAGGTGACAATTAAAATTATAAATAAATAATGCAGTAAGGCTCTCAGGCATTCTATGTATATATGCATTTTTCTGTAGAATTTTTTTTCTCATGTAATATCATCCCTGCCGAGTCAACACACGTGCAGGGGTGATTTAGTCTTCCATCCTCTTTTGTGTCTCTTGTTTGAATGTGTATGTGGCACTTTTACACCTCAATGAAAAATTACTTCATTTTAATTAAGTTATAAACTCCTGGACTTTAATAGCTCCTGTGTTTCAGTAGGTTTTCTGCTCATGTTCAAAATTTTCTGTTTTGTCAGAATCTGACATGTCGAGAAACAATGCCTAATATTATGAGAAAAAAAATGTTTTTTTACCTGCTATGATCTGTGTATTAGCATGCAAAGTTGCCCTGCTGATATGTTAGCATGAGACAAGGAGATCGAAACCAAAAGTAACCGACAACTCTTTTGATCAGGCAGAAATCTCACCACAAATCCACATACATGTTAAATTGCACCTCTTATGAAGTGCAGCTCATAATCCCAAAAAGAGCAAGTTTGCGCTGCCGTTTTGAGATGTTGATATTGCAAAACTCTATCAGCTACGTTCCCACCGTCAAAACTGACTGGGACTTTTTATCATGGCATACACCGGTGTTGCATCTGATGGGTTAAGTTCATTCGTGCCTAGTCTATAAACTTTCTCTTGCAGCGCCCCCCTGACATTTTGCTTCCTAGGCAAACTCCTATGTTGCCTATGCCATGGGATAGCTCTGCCTTGTTGACATTGTTCAGTTTAAAATATCCTGTCACAGTACATACTATATTTGTCACAACTCTGTAATATCCACATTTGAGGGGTAGTTTGTTTATGTAAAAATAATGCATTAAAATATTAAGGCATTTTTTAACTGTAAAATCGGAATCGGAAGTGATATCAAAATTTAATAGAGGTTGGGTTAAACACTAGAAAGTTTAGGCTCTTGAGCATATTTACGTAAGGAAAAATGGTGTATGGACATTGTCTTACCTCAATTTCTATGATATTGTACTGCGAGAGAGAGAGAGAGAGAGAGAAATGTTTATTGACAAGTTGGTTTATATTATTCTTATCACACAGTCTCCTAATAAAAGTCTGGGTTAGACATTATTTAGAGATCAGTACAATGTTTTACAGTGTACAGGTATGTCTAACACACACAAACAGGAAAAGGGCCTTTCTACAGAGTATCTGTCTTCTAATTAATAGTTTCATTGGAAAAACATACACAATTCTTTTTTGTTGCAGTATAGTTTAATTGTTATCACATCAAAATGTATTTTCTGCAACAACATGTGAAACGTTGGGGTTCAAAACCTCCCACAGCACCTGCAGGTTGACCTAGGGGACTGGGTTGCACTATTGACACAGCACTTCACCAGGGTCTGATCGATAAAGGATATAACTCTGGTAAAAGAGCAGACCCATTTCAGTCTATTCATTATGTAACTTCTCTTAATTTTAACTCCAATGGAGGGCTTTTCACTTAGCCCAGGGCTAAAAGCATTCTGAGAACCTTCCTAGGCCCAGGCTAAGGGAGCTTTCCCACTGGCACAAGTCTAGGACTAGCTGGCCCCGCACCAGAGTAGGGTTATCCCCTGAAAACTGATCATCATCTTCTTAAATAACTGATGTGATATAAATAGAGACAGGATTTCTCAATCTGTTGGAGTTGTTGAAACACTCTGTATTATGGTGTTACACAGAGAGCACACAACCGAACAACAGACAAGTTTTATTTTGGACATCAAGTAACTCCATTTGGTAACAACGGTGCACAGATATTAGATTCATTAAAATATGCCCAGTTTGGCAACAATACTCTTGGTTGGCTTGGGACATCTCTAAATTAGATCTATAAAGGACAGTTTGAACACTCACCGGCTGACTGGCAGGTCTGAACTTGGTGTCCAGTGTAACGACTCTGAAATGTACTGAGAGAAATGCAAAGAAATCATATGAAGCTTTTACAGCTAATCTACACCTGGGTTAAGCTGCATCATTACTATCAAACAAACAAAGTATAGAAAGTGACGTCATTATGAGATGTGCATGCAGGCAGGGAATAAACAACAAACCAGAATAACCGAGAGCTCATTATTTATATTACAACTTTGCTATTGTCACAAAATTAATCTGTGGAATATGTTCAACATCCCAAGATGGAAATCTCCCATTCAGCTCAGTGTGCATAATTAGTTATAAGCATCTAGCAATCTGGTCACAGTCCAGCTTTTCAATCAAGTGGATCGTTTTGCACAGAAACAGGCGATGAAAAAAACATGTTTTAAGGTAAGACAGCTCACTTGGTTACTGTGTGTTTGTGCCTCTTTAATGTGTAGGCCTATTGTAAATGCCATTACTAATATGATATACAGAATGTTTGGGCTTAATGAGTTTTCTACCCCATGCTGTGTGCACATCCACAATTGTTTGTAAACAGGAAACATGTCTTAATATGGTACCATACTGTTACAACATTATCAGCTCAAGGTTACCTGTTTGTCCAGGGAGGTAGATCGGTTTATCTGTTTGGACGAATGTCATTGGTTGATAGACTTTGATCATGACTTTCCTGACTTCTTTTGAGTAGAAATTGTCTCCTCGTACCACTACCTCCAACATCTGCACCACTTCATTCTGCACTAAAGGAACCTGCAACAGAAAGATATTTTATTAAGGTTGTCCAACACAAGGAGAGTGTTTTAAATTAACACAGTTTCAGAGAATGTTTCGGAAATGACTGAAAGTCCATCGCAAGAGCTGACCTGAAACTGAACACAGGTATGAAACTCTTCACTGGATGTCTTTTTGAGAAGTGTTTTATTCTGCTCTTGGGACATCAAAGTGACGGTCATGTCCAGACTCTCATTGGGCTGCAGGAGACTCGCACAGAGTTTGGTCTCAGCACCAGCTTCAAGAACTGCAGGAATGGCCACCATGTACTGCCTGCAGATACAAACACACAAACAGTAGATACTTTACTGGATCCCAGAAGATTGGGCAGCAAAAAAAACATTATCTAAGATGCATGTAAACTGGTTAAAACTGAATTACACACATACAAAAAAAATACAATATTGTAATTTTTGGGACAGTACAGGTAAACTTACGGTCCTGCCACTGCTTGACCCACACACATCCAGCTCAGGACACAAAGCGTCCATGTCCACATCTGAATCCCAGGAAGACCCATGACTGACTGACATGAGCCTCAGAGTCAACATCTGTTAAATAGCCTCTGATACCATCCACCCCCGCTTTATACACACACACACACACACACATACACATCATCATGTGTCATCATGCAACCCCTCTATTTGATTTCCAGGTATCCCATAAATCAGTAATTTATAGACTTCAGTTGTTTAATGTATTGTATAAGGCTGACTGCATTTAAAAGACATTTTTGAACACCTTTATTTTGTTTAATCAGCTAAGGTTTAAAGTTATAAAAGTTTGTCATTCCAGCTAAATGAAAATGTGAAAATGACATATGTTTCTATAGAACCAGGGTATAAAAACCATTAGACAGAATCAAAATGATCTGAAGAAGTTAAACAATAGATTCTAAATTTTGTCCACCCATTTTGTTACAGTAATGCGTTCACCAACTATTTCGCTACTGCAGGTGGTTGGACACGTAAAAAGCTGTAACAACTTTCTGACACTGAAAAAAATCAAACATTACAAGCTTTTCATACAGTTGAAATACCAATTCTAGAGCTATTTAATTATATTATAAAGTTGTTTGAATTGTACTTTATATCACATTCTAGGATATTCCACTATTTCTAACTGTGTTCTGCACATTCCTTCTGTTTTATCAGTGTTACAGTAAGTTCAGTTTGCTTTTGAGTTCTGCAACATTGCCCTTTACCCAGCGTGGGGTGTTTGATTTTGTCAGTAAGTAAATCTTTGTTAACTGATACAGTCCTCAAACACTGCTCATGGGTTACCGCACATCAAGAAATGTAACCTCCCAAACTATTTGTATTAAGACTATATAAAATTTAGACTTTATATGCAACCACTTTTTATGGTACTTTTATGCTTAAAATGTACAGCTAAATGATTTTCCATGCTTTTCAAGCATGAAAGCTGCATGCAGTGAATCAAAGTAGCTGCACATAAATCAATAGCAATAAACTTATCTGTTGACAAAACTTATCTGTAAGACAAAAAGATTATATTTAAAAAGTACTGATACTTTAACCCACTGAAATATCAGCAGTGACAGTAGCAACCAGCAGCAATCAGCCATCACTAGAAGACAACAACAACCACAAAGTTATGGAAACCCATAGTTTTCTACTTGTGGTGTCAAAGCTGATAGTGTGAGTATGAGTGACTCATAAGACAACCTGAGAATCTGCCTTATTGCCATTACCCCATGTGAGGATATTTGTCATAATTCAAATGAGTCTACATAGAAAATGAAAAGGGATCAAAATTTGCACTAATAGGAATAATGGCATTTGATATTTATCATTCTGGACCGGGGAATTAGGTTTTCCAATGTGTGTAAATAAGGAGGTGTGTCCCAAAGGTTGAAGGGAAGGCTGGGGTGCAGATGCAGAAAGATAAACCAACCACAGCTAATGCTGTGAATTGTGTTGCAACTCACCTTGAGTCACACAGGAGGAAGGAACCACATATGATACTGTTAATCGTTTCCATCATGCCGTGTTTGGGTATCTTAATACAAAATAGATTGCTGTGTACTTTGAAAAACATCAAAGTACACAGCATTAGAGAAAAAAACATAAAATCACATTCATGGTCACTTCAATGTATAAAAGCGAGCTTAAGTCCCGGGTGCTTGCTCCACAACAGTGTGTTTACTATAACCTATAATAAACGTTAGTGTCGGGGTTTCTGCTGTGTGCTCAGGCAGGAACAGGGTGTAGACACATGCAGATACAAACCAGGCAGGATAAGTTTCCTGCAAACCTTACAATGGCAATGTCAAGAAGTCCAAAAATAATAATCCAAACTCAAGGTAATGTACAATCCCTAAACAAATGTAAAAAAAACAACAGTCCAGTCTGGTGAGAATAGATTATCCAAGATCAGACCGATGGTGAACAACAGGCAGGGATGAGGGCAGACAGAAGGACCACAGAAACACATGACAGAAACAACAATGATCCAGCAGAGACTTAGCGAAAATAAGGACTATACAGGTGCTGGTCATATAATTAGAATATCATCAAAAAGTTTATTTATTTCAGTAATTCCATTCAAAAAGTGAAACTTGTATAATGTATACATTCATTCCACAAAGACTGATATATTTCAAGTGTTCATTCATTTTAATATGGTGATTATAACTGACAACTAATGAAAACCCCAAAATCATTATTTCAGAAAATTAGAATATTGTGAAAAGGTTCAATATTGAAGACACCTGGTGCCACACTCTAATCAGCTAATTTACTCAAAACACCTGCAAAGGCCTTTAAATGGTCTCTCAGTCTAGTTCTGTAGGCTACACAATCATGGGGAAGACTGCTGACTTCACAGCTGTCCAAAAGACGACCATTGACACCTTGCACAAGGAGGGCAAGACACAAAAGGTCATTGCTAAAGAGGCTGGCTGTTCACAGAGCTCTGTGTCCAAGCACATTAATAGAGAGGCGAAGGGAAGGAAAAGATGTGGTAGAAAAAAGTGTACAAGCAATAGGGATAACCGCACCCTGGAGAGGATTGTGAAACAAAACCCATTCAAAAATGTGGGGGAGATTCACAAAGAGTGGACTGCAGCTGGAGTCAGTGCTTCAAGAACCACCACGCACAGACGTATGCAAGACATGGGTTTTCAGCTGTCGCATTCCTTGTGTCAAGCCACTCTTGAACAAGACACAGCGTCAGAAGCGTCTCGCCTGGGCTAAAGACAAAAAGGACTGGACTGCTCCTGAGTGCTCCAAAGTTATGTTCTCTGATGAAAGTAAATTTTGCATTTCCTTTGGAAATCAAGGTCCCAGAGTCTGGAGGAAGAGAGGAGAGGCACAGAATCCACGTTGCTTGAAGTCCAGTGTAAAGTTTCCACAGTCAGTGATGGTTTGGGGTGCCATGTCATCTGCTGGTGTTGGTCCACTGTGTTTTCTGAGCTCCAAGGTCAACGCAGCCGTCTACCAGGAAGTTTTAGAGCACTTCATGCTTCCTGCTGCTGACCAACTTTATGGAGATGCAGATTTCATTTTCCAACAGGACTTGGCACCTGCACACAGTGCCAAAGCTACCAGTACCTGGTTTAAGGACCATGGTATCCCTGTTCTTAATTGGCCAGCAAACTCGCCTGACCTTAACCCTATAGAAAATCTATGGGGTATTGTGAAGAGGAAGATGCGATACGCCAGACCCAACAATGCAGAAGAGCTGAAGGCCACTATCAGAGCAACCTGGGCTCTCATAACACCTGAACAGTGCCACAGACTGATGGACTCCATGCCACGCCGCATTGCTGCAGTAATTCAGGCAAAAGGAGCCCCAACTAAGTATTGAGTGCTGTACATGCTCATACTTTTCATGTTCATACTTTTCAGTTGGCCAACATTTGTAAAAATCCTGTTTTTGTATTGGTCTTAATATTCAAATTTTCAGAGATACTGAATTTGGGATTTTCATAAGTTGTCAGTTTTAATCATCATAATTAAATGAAATAAACATTTGAAATATATCAGTCTGTGTAGAATGAATGAATATAATATCCAAGTTTCACTTTTTGAATGGAATTACTGAAATAAATCAACTTTTTGACCAGCACCTGTGTATACTGACACAAACGAGCAGGGATGGAGGAACAGCAGGTGCAACACTTTAGAAACTATCAGTACAACAGGAAGGACGTCAATAAAAATGAATAATAGTACTAATTAATGATACGAATTTTAAAATTTTTTAATTTGAAACGATATTAACAATAATAACAAGACTAGTAATCAAGACTGTGTACAGGACTGAAGTGCATTGTTTGAGGTTAACACAAGCTCCACTGTTCTTTTCCTGATGTGTCCTCCTCCCTGCAGACAAAGATGTTTCACCTGAACTTGAAGGACCACTTGGTGTCACAGCTTCGAATTAGCCATTTCCAGAAGAGCTCACTGGGTCACAGCACAAGCTGGACGTTAAAGCTACGTCCAGCTAAGCTGTTATCACTAGACTACTGGAGCTTTCACACCTGAAGTTTGGTTCATTTGGTCCCAACCAAAAGGAAAAAGTTTTACATTGTTGCATTTTAGTTCTGGTCCGGCTCAGGTTAACTCTGACTTTTTATAAACCAACCAAGAGGACAAAATATTAATTACACAGACTGACAGGTCTCATTTTCGGAGAGTTTTGGCAATTGTCATCAGCGCCTTCAAAGCTCATGAAGAAATAAGAGCAGCCTCAGTGTTACATTTGGCAGTCAGGCAGTCTGTCAAGAGCCAAAAATGTTAATTGTGACAGGGAATGGAGATGGCCTGAGCTAAGGATCTTGAAAGGGAAGCACAGAGGGTATTAGTGTGTATATATTTTTTTGTTTCTTTTTAATCTGTGTTTCTATGACCTTGACCTTTTTAACCTATGTATTTGAACTTATATGAAGTATCTTTGATTATCTTGAAATACACTGCAGAATGTTAAACACAAGACCCATTTTAAGTGGAACATTCAGATGACTTTGTTTTATTGTCCAAAAAGCATAGAGTAGTTACATAGCTGTTTGGTGTACTGGCCAAATAGTAACAGTCAAACAAGTGTTAAATGTTTGTGTATGTCTCCAGAACAAACAGACATAGAGCTACACAAGGCACATAAAATGTATCTTTAATAAAATGCAGGTTTTTTTCAATCAGTGACAATCTGAGGACAGACCACACATCACTCGTCAATCTGTCAAAGAAAGAAAAAATATAATTCACTGTAAAGACTTACAACATTAGTTTCCTGCTTTATTTGGTTTTAGGTTTCAAACTTGGTAAATTTCTAATAATTTATTATTCCTTATCTCTAGAATTATTATTATTGGCTTATTTATTAAGACAGTTAGGACCTTATAGCTTTTTGTGTTTAAAATGTTTAAAATGTTTTAGGTTTTTTGGTCATTAAATAAGTGTTTCTGTAAGAAACATTGCTTGCGTATGTTATTACACTGTTACCTGCAGCACAAGGGTAGATGTATTCTGTCTCAGCCTGGTCACCTGAGAGGAAAAACAAGAAGTAAAAGAGAGATTTATAAAGCAAAAAAAAAAAGTGACAAACTTTCTGTTCAAAGTCTAACACATTTAAAACATGTAGTACTTGAAATTAGAACACGACCAATTTATCGACCAATATGAGCAAATTGCATATTATCGGCATCAGAACACAGAGAGGGCTGTATTAGTGGTGACAAAATCATCTAACTCCTCTTTGTGTGACGTTGTAGGTATGAAACGCTGTAGTCAGAGCCGTAACGGCTCTGGTTGTAGTTACAACGTTAGTCAAATGAAATCTCAAAAGCCGCAGGTCCTCGCTGTAGAAAGTCATGTAGAATTAGTTGCATTCAACAGCAGGTCACTGTGTCATAGACAGTATAGACTATTCTGATAACTGTTCAGGTTGTTGTGCAGCTCTGCTAAGGAGCAGAGTTTGTCAGTGTGGTCTCTGTAAATGAGCATTAGAGAGGACTGAGTATCTGACTTACTTGGCTGGTAGTAGTCATAGATCTTGACCACGGCTGGCTTCAGGTTCTGCACTGGGAGCTCCTGTTGGAGGTCTAAGCTGTGGTTGATAGCTATGTCCTTTGTTAACTGTTGGAATAAAAACAGACGACACGTCAGTCACAAATCTGGAGAGCATCATCTATTGTTCCTCACTGTGAATCCCTCTCACCTCCCTTATGTACACCAGAACGTGATCTTCCTTTTCTTCAACACGATCCACCAGCAGGGCACCTTTGAGCTGTGAGGAGACCACATTCAGCTGGGTCGTTTATTGAACACTATTCATTTCCTACTCAGGTTAAAGTCACTGTAGCTATGTTTAATCTAATTCGTGGGTAAATTGCAAAAAAGAAAATGCAAAATAGGTGCATTTCCATCTGCTGGTTTCGAGCCAATCAACCAGAATATTGCAAGCGTAGCTATGTCAGTAGTTGATGTTATACATGGCTGTAATAAAACAGAAGTAGGCCTATGGGTTGCAAACCAGAAACAAAACCATGGTCCTGAGGTCTCATGGACCTGACCATGAATCTGAGAAAAATGAAGAGAGGTCCTCAGGAATGTTTTTCAAGCGGGCAAGTTGCTACCAGCCATGTCTCCGCGCGTTATGGGAAAATTGCTATGTCAGAATATATTTGTCTTATAAGTGTTTCCATCTCCCTTTTAGCGCATTAACTCTTTTTCGACAAAGGCAAAAACCACCTCAAGTGAACTTTGCGAAATTAGGGACCTTTTTCTTCTTCGTATTTTGCCGTTTCCATCAACCTTTCCAATGCAATACTTCAAAATGCACATAAAAAAACTTTGATGGAAACACGGCTTAAAATAACTCACCCCCCTCAAAGACTCTGGGTCTGGGACAAAACCAGAGAGCATTTTGATGTCCAGGATCACCATGTTTGTAGTGCTTTCCTTTCCACTATATCTGCAATGCAACCAGAAAAACGTGATGTTAATCAGACAGATTTCATCCTGTTGTTCAAAGTTCTACTAGTTGTATACAATTTTTAATCTGAGGGCTTAGAAAGCCTTAATTTATAGTTAAAGGGGCTATGTGTATTTTTTAATGAATTTAATCACTTTTTTCTTGCCTGTGTGTGAAAGGGTTATAACCTCACATAAAAACGATCCACTTGCTGTGTTTTTCTGTTACCTCCGACGGCCAGTAGGTCTATTCCTATGCGAAGTCACCGGGTTGGATTTTACACAAAATCCCTTGGCTGTGATATATGCACCTTCCCAAGTCTCTTGCCTTGGTAAAAAATTACCAGCTACCCCGAACAACACAGACTCCATAAAGGGATAAAAAACAACAATGTGCTGAAGCCCATCAGGCCAAACAAGAATCAGATTGATGTAGTACAACAGTATTACAGTACAACATCAGAGGCATGAGTCTCGGAGAAACCACCGAGGAGGAGGAGGAGGAGATGGAGGGACACATACAGGATGATGTCTGTGTTTTTATTCTTTCTAAACATCACTCAGTATTTGTGATGTCAGATATTGAGTTTATATTTAGTGACATTGCTGTTGTAAACATTAATTTTGTTGCTCTAGAAACAACATTTAGCTGTATTTAAAATATCACCAAATAATTATTTAATATTTTAAATGGCGGGCATGCACAACTTTGCATAAGACCGGTGAATGGCAGGCGAGCAGAGCAGAGGGAAAAGGGTCAACAATAAGCCTCACTTTAGCTGGAAATGCACAGTGTTAAGTTACAGTGACTAATGAATAGAGACTGTGTGTAAACAACCATTTTATTATAATACTCACATAGGGGGTTCAGATTAGGGGTGTGACCGTACACTTAGCTCACATGAACAATGCACAATATTGGGTTCACGAGAACAAGACAAGAAGATATTGTAACACTATTTTGATGAATTATTCAATGCTGAATAATAAAATATAAATTGTCTTTATTTATGTAAAGTGAAGCAGAATATTCAGGTGACAATTCAAACAGAATATAATGCAGTAATCAGCAGCTCGTTTTTTTAACTTAAGTAACTTTTTTGGACAATGCACATTTGTTTATTCTTGTTTTTAAACATTTCTTGTTCTCTTGTCATTTTCAGAACATATTTAACAAAGGCTTTTAAAAAATTATGGAGACTGAACATTAACGTTACCTGTACTGCCATGTAAGATCACATCAAACTGTGGTGATCTGGGGGCTCATCCTTCCCAGCCCCTAGTTTGTCCTTTCTCTTCCCCTCTTCCCTGTGCGTCTACTGTCTGTTGCTGTTTGTGGGTGTGTCTGCAGGTCAACGAGCAGGTGTACGGCAGCGAGAGTGCACACAGTAGTCAATCTACAAATCACCACTGCTGATTTATACCCAGTTCATCGCTCCAGTATTTGCCAGATTGCCCGTTCACCCGTGTGGTAAACCACTCATCAGGCCAAGCACTCTGCTAGTGTTTTTTTCAACCCTTCATCTAATGTTTGTTTTTTGTTTTTTGTGGGGAAGCCTGCCGCTCTAGGACATCACGCACCAAAAGACCTCTATCCATATTCTGTCAATAAATCATCTGGTTTTTGCCCTAACCCTGTGTCTGCTCCTGGATCCCTTATTTAAATAAAGTAAATTGTAAAGTCACACACACAAAGTATTTATTTATGATGTTATGGCATTTATTTAATCCTACCAGAGGACAAGAAAATATTTAAGTCCTTTGTAAATGAAATGTAATACTTCTAAGGCCAAATTTTTACAATATGAAATTTAAGACTTTTAAAATACTTTTAAAAGTATATAATATTCAGCTAGGTCACTAACCATTTCATTATCATCCAATACATTTAGCTATGCTGACATTGCTCAGCCTCTCTGGTGAAAGATGCACAAAGTTATTGAAAAGCAGGCAGGCGAGTTAACGCCGACGTATCATGCCGACTGAACGCATTCTATATAATGTCATGTAACGAGCATGGATTTGTTCAACATCAAAAACGTTGCAGTGGGAGTTTACCTGAGCTTCCAGCATGTTGTGTGAAGCTGTCTCTGTGCGTTGGATTCTGCTTGCTCATGAGTTTGAGGATGCACACAAGCACACACCTGGTTGCAATCTAAAAATCGTACCACCAGTGGCCACTGAAAACTACATAACCCCTTTAAGATAGGTTTTAACTGAGTATTAACGACCAGTTTGTAATCATTTCTCACATGTCCATCCACCAACAGTCATAAATTACAGTATTCTTCAATCATTGCTGTAACATGGATCTAGTGTTGTTGATTACTTACAGGGACTTTAGCTTCAGAGTGAGTTTGGGTCTGAGAGATGTGCAGTCGGCCTCTGGTTTGACCTCCACACTGAGAGTGGTGACAGCAGCAGGAGTTGGGATGTTATAGTGAAGAGAGATCTGGGAAACAGGGACACAGGGAGGTTTAACAATCATAAAAATTGATAAGTAATAGTACTTAAACTTGCACCCCCACATCAGTGTCTCCCAATCTTTTTAACAAAATCCTTTTATAATAATTGAAATAGTTAGATTTCAGCCTTTATTTGTGCAAGAAACCACCTCAGAAAAACAAACCATGCTACCCTTTAAACCGGAGGTATGGTGCTTCTAAAGCTTTTGTATTGCTCCTGGGATGCTAACATGAGGACATGGTTATTTTTGCAGTGTTGTGTTTGTAGTGGTGTATATGTCTATATGTGTATAAGAGAAACAGGAAGTGCTGCAGTGACAGTGACCACTGACCTGCACTGAAGCACATGCAGAGCCCTTCACCTCCAGGCTGAACTTTCCTGTCACTTGCTGCAGCAGCTTCTCCTGGTAGAGCAGTTTGTTGTTCTGATTCACATCAAATGTCAGCTGGCCACTGGGAGACTGGACTGTCACTGTGCTGGAACCCTCTGGACTGAACACCGCAGTGGCGTAGAGAGCCAGAGCCTGGAGAGCCACCACCGTGTCCTACAACACACAACACAACAATTACTTTATGGGCTGAACTGACTTTGGTTTATACATTAAGTAGTTTCATATGCACTTTTATAAAGTTCAGGTCTCTATAATGTAGATTTTCATACACATACTCTAAGGCAGGGGTCTCAAACTCGTATCATCCAGGGGCCACTTTTGTTACTGTCATCTCAAAGGGGGGCCACAACAGCATAAGAGTACTTCAAGAAAGTGCAAAATCCTGAAAATGTACTTTTTGGTAACACTTTCTATGAAGGTCATCTCTATGATGACTTATGCATATATTTATAACACGATATAATGCGTCCATAAGACATTATAACAGTTGTTATAATCACTTACAAACATGCATTAGGCACTATAGCTAAGTTCATAATGTATTATGAGCTTTTCATTTAATGTTTTATAACTAATAGTAATACCAGTTTATATCAATGTGCGGCAAGAATCTCTGACCGTGTTCCATAACATATTATAACCACCGACTCTGCCTCATTATTAATACACTTTAGTCACTATTTACAATTAGTGCTATAAAATGGAATAATAGCTTATAGTAATGTTTAAAGTTATATAGCATGTCTTTGTTTGCTTTAAGTAAAGTGTTAAAATATCTATCCCTGTATAATATATTACAGGTGAACATAATACCATATGAACTAATTATGAGAACTTATAACAAATAATTGTTTGCTTTAAGTAAAGTGACCCACATTTTGTGCAGGAAAACAACTTTTATTTATGTTTCTTCACTTTATGAACAATCTGTATGAATTTTGAACATTTTGCAGTTAATGAAAAGAAAACTCATTCTCAGGGTGGTGAGAGATTGCTCAAGAGAAGACCTGTTGCCGACCAACATCATGTAAGAAGAGGTTCAGATGTTGTCACAGATGAATGCCGATTCAATGGCGAACAGATGCAGTGGACAATTAATATAGGTATATCTCATTATACATCATTATACCGATATACCGACCAGCCCTACGTCCACCAGGAATGCAAGATCCATCACCCTTTCTGGATCATCAAATTCAGGAACATCCATCCTGCCATCTTCCATGAATCTCTTCACCTCTGCTCTCAACTCAAAGAATCTCTTCAGGACAGGTCCCTTGCTGAGCCAGCACACATCAGTAAATTACATCTCCATATGCTGACTCAATTTCTTGTAAAAAGGCCCTCAACTGGCGGTGCTGTAAACCCCTGGTTCTGATGTAATTAATACATTTCAGGGCAACAGACATGACATGTTCATATTTGAAGCACTGGCTACATAGTGCCTGTTGGTGTATAATGCATTGCAGCACCACTGCTGGACCTGCTTTTTCTTTTGGTAACTTTCTTTGTACCAGCGCAACCAGTCCGTTTTTAATGCCTGTCATAGATGGAGCTCCGTCAGTTGAAATGGCTACCAGTCGGCTCCATGGTAAACCAGCACGCTCAAACGTGTCACACAGCTCCTGAAATATATCTTTGGATGTGGTGCGTCACTTCGCACTTCTCATTAATAACCTTGATGAAAACTGCGAGCTGAACATTGTCGGTTTCATCTGTGTATTCATCAAGCGCCAGTATGCAGTGAAAGCTTTAACTTTCTCACATAACTGATCATAAAGGTCACTTGATAACTTGCTAATCCGCTCCACCACGGTGTTTACCAGTAGCGTTATATTGTCGAACAAGCTCTCGAACATGCAGTCCTTCAGAAACTGGCCTTCAGTGACTGGCTTTCCGGCTTTGGCGATTAATTCACTCACCACATAATTTGTCTCAACTGCAGTATCAGCATCCTTTTTGGCTTTATGAAAAACACTTTGCTGAGATGTAAATCCTCTCTGTAGCTGCGTGGCTCGTGTTGTCCTCTCGCCTCCCTGGTACTTCCAGTTACACACCACAAAAAATACTGCTTTGTTTATCTCTGTTGAAACAGTCTGTGTTCATCATCCACATTCCGTTTTGATTTGGACAGCAACATCTTTCTTCAGCCCATTGCATGCATTTGCGGCCACCAAGGTCATGCGGCCATGACAAACAAAATTAAAAATATAATATAATGTCATATTTCAAAAAAAAATTTTGTGGGCCAGATTATACATATATATTTTTCACATTCCTACGCAGGCTGGGGGAGGGGGTCTGATGTGCCCCACATGCCGAGAGTTTGAGACACCTGTTCTAAGTAAATTACAATTTAAAATGTGATTTGTAGTTAATGTAAATGCTCCGTACTATATAGCGCCTTTCTAGTCTTTTCGACCACTCAAAGCACTACATCTTTACACTACATCTGCATTCACACACATTCATTCACTGAGCCTAAGTGTTCAAACAGAAACTAACATTCACACACATTCATACACTAGCAGAACAGCCGCCAGGGGCAATTCAGGGTTCAGTATCTTGCCCAAGGACACTTCAACATGCAGCCTGGAGGAGCCGGGGATTGAACCACCAACCTTCCGATTAACAGGCAACCTGCTCTACCTTCTATCTTGTAATCACTGACATTGAATTGTTAAAAATATTGTATAATGTCGCTGTCCTGTGATTTAGATAAACTTTAGGATTTCGTGTTCCTTTCTAGGTTAAGCTACTTCATAAGCTGAAAAAAACATTTAAACCCCCATTATATGCAAAAGAATGCATTCCAGCTGTCTGGGCTGTACCTGTGTGGAGGAGAAGCCTCCATAATAGTTCTGCTGGCCCGTCAGCCATCTGACGATGCTGGTGGCGGCGCCCAGGTCTTCAGCAGTGGGAGAGCCGCTGAGTCTGGCCAGCAGCACATAGGAGCTGATCTCCACAGACAGAGAGGCTGACGTTTCTGTCGCTGTCTGAGACCAGTAGAGGAAACCTCCTAAAAACAGCCATCCACAAACAGACAAACAGGCACAGGGTGAGCCACATTCACAGGAATGAAGCCAGAAGGATTTCCTTCAGGATGACTCACCTTGCTTTGATGCAACAGTGTCCAGGTGCTTCAGAAGGTGAGCACGGGTCTCCGTTTCTCCTGCCAGGGTGAAGACGTACGCCAGCAGAGCTGTAGTGTAGGTGTTGCTGAGGTCACTGATGGACTCCCTGAGACAAGACAGGCTCTTGTTCACCACAGGATCCTATAACAGATTAAAAGAACACATTATAATAAATGATCTCTGGACTTTATTTATTTAGGTCCTGTTCACACCTGAAAGTCCGCACCAAGGTCTGGACCAAAGTTTATGTTTTGAAACATTTTAATATATTTGGTTAGTTAGGGGTCCAAGCCAGAGAAGAGCATGGAAACCCGCAAATGCAGGGCATCATGGTTCCCAGGACCAGCAGGGCTGGGAACCCCATTGTAATCATAATGGATTTTTATTATTATTCTTCCGTACAAATAAGTGATACTGCGGCCTAGATGGTAATGGCTACAGAGGTGACACTCAGAGGGTAGGTACACACCTCTAAGAGTACCTCAGGTGCCAAATTTGCACACTTCAACGCATTTGTTCATTTATTCACCAAGGGTCCCGACGCCGTGTGCAACATTTGATGCAATTTGGACAATAGGTGGCGCTGTTATTGCAGAACTGTGCAAGAGAATATCATTTGAATACATAAGATTTACACTTTATGCCGGGAATCTCGTTCGTAACTCCTTGTCGTCTGCACCGGGATCGGCACATGCGGCAGCCTCTGAGGTGCGCGAGGTGCGGCTTGCGTTGAGTGGCTCAGACCCCTATCACAACTGCTTGCAGTTCTAGTTTTGGTTTGGTTTCACATTGGAATTATGTGACAGCACTAAAGAACTTTACATGACATACTTTCATCGTGTTGTCCCTACACTTGACATTGACAGGTTTGTTCACAGACATGCGTGTGACGTCAGCGTGCAGTCAGTTCCGCGGATAGTTTTGACAACACTGAATGAATAAGGAGTGAACAGATGCATCTCGTTGCCACTATATTGTTATTATTATGGCATTACTAGCTGCAGCACCAACTTAACTTGAGGATAGTTCAAATTCATTCACATTTGTTTGTTTCTGCTTTACAGTGTGCAGTATTTATAGTGTGAAAGTATTTACCAGTACCTGTAACGTGAATGATGCAAAGCAGGGATGCAAACTGATCAGGAGTGAAAAAGGTGACAAAGATACTAGTATAAATGAATGTATCGGTATAATATAACATTAAATGAAGAGTACAGTGTACATTTAATAGTTCTTGTGTTATTGTGGCTAAACAAAGGCAACGGCGCAAATTTAATGCAGAAGCACATCAGGCAGACGGTCATTATGGGAAATAATGTACATTTACTTAGAAAACATTTATTTCCAAAAAAACTGTTAAATGGTTAAAAAAGTATACAAACCTTTCTTCCTCATTTTCTGTGTAGAAGTTGTTGGTTTGGGTCTTGTAAAGAAAATTATTTCCAGTTTACAGTTATAACTGATTTTTTGTTTGCAAGGAGTCTACTCACATTTACTGATGTATTCATCTCCAAGTAGGCAGCAGTGATGTAAGCACTGAGAGTCACTTCATCAGACACACCACCCTGTAGAGAGGAAGCATCATGCAGACGTTACCATCACTGTAGCTCCAACACACAGGCGCCAGATTCAAAACAGTGATTTTGAGCACAGCTTACACGCAGATTGCAAATGGTGGTAGTATCCTGTTTCACAAAAGATTTGAGTCCTACATACATCAGTCCAATTACGCAAAGTAAAAACCTGCAGTAAAAATAAACATGTCTGACCTTTTTCCACTTAAAGTTATCATCAGCCATTTTCATACAATCTCTATAGAGACTGACCTTCATTCTGTTGTTGAAGAGTTTTCCCAGCTGCTGGAAACAGCCATTTTCTCGTTGTTTACCATCCAGCCAAGACTTAGACTCAGCAAGCTTTGTTGGGTCAATGTAGATGAAAGACTGTGCTTTGGCAAAAGATCTCAGCACAAAAGCAGTCAGCCTGAGGATATTAACACAAGGTCAAACAATAACTGATACAATGAAGTGAAGAGGAAGCACTTGATCTGTGTAATGTTTCACAACATATACTTAATGCTTCAGGTCATTTGCTAACTTAATTAATGCATTAATTAGAATAATATATGTACATGCTTTGTTTGATAGGTATGTTTATATTTGCAAAATATGTCTCATATTTGTATACCACACTTGTTAGAGAATTGTAGGGCATTAGTAAAACATGTTTTGTTTGCCAAGTTTTGGCAGGAAGTTAGCTCCATAAGTGCAGTCACATCATCTACTCTCTGTAAGTATAAAGGTTCTTTTTTTTCTAAAGCTCAACTGTAAAGGTAGCACACCATCTACACGTACTTATTCTGCATGCATGATTGATCAGTGATGTTCTCACCAAGTGTTCCCAGGTCCTGATCCAAATGTGCTGTAAGCACCGTCAAAATGTTTGTAGTTCAGCTGTCTCTGGTAGCCTGTAAAACAAGAGAAACACGTTTATTTACTTGAATCTGTTTGTTCTGTTGACTTCCTCCATCAGCGATGGGCTATGTTTTATAAAGTTGAGGAAAAGACACAAAACTCAGAACTTTCCACTCGCGATTCCTTTTTCAGCTGCAGGTGCGCCACATGTGGAGGAGGCTTGTTAATGACAAAGCCTATCAAAACCGAAACCAACATGTTACAGAGTGAACTCTACACTGTGTTCACTGTTTACCTTGTAAAATATCCACCGTGTTCGTGTCTCATAATGTAATACATAGCATCTCTCTTTGTGTTTCTCTACAAAATGCTAAAATGGATCACCAAATATAACTGGGCAGCCCACCCAAGTAAAGTTTATGTTCGGGAAACACTGTGTTTATTATCGGAGGTAAATTTGTAAGGCTGAATGAGGGAAGAGAAAAAGCATGCAACAAAGTTCAGCAAGGGGTTTAGGCAGGGACACAATGGCGACCAGGATGCCCCTGACATTACTGAGCATGAACGTGCTAAGAGCGCATTCACTGAACATGACGGATTAAGAATTGGATGAGATTAATATGGAGTTGACCCACCCTTTGCAGCTATAACAGTTTCAACTCTTCTGGAAAGGCTGTCCACAAGGTTTAGGAGTGTGTTCATGGGAATATATGACCATTCTTCTAGAAGCGCATCTGTGAGGTCAGGCACAGATGTTGGACGAGAAGGCTAACTCGCAGTCTCTACTCTAATTTATCTCCAAGGTGTTGTATCGGGTTGAGGTCAGGACTCTGCAGGCCAGTCAAGTTTTCCACACCAAACTCGCTCTGTGTCTTTATGGACCTTTCTTTGTGCACTGGTGCGCAGTCATGTTGGAACAGGAAGGGGCCATCGCCAAACTGTTTCCACAAAGTTGGGAGCATGAAATTGTCTAAAATGTCTTAGTATGCTGAAGCATTAACAGTTCCTACCACAGGAACTAAGGGGCAAAGTCCTGAAAAACAACCCCATACCATAAACCCCACTCCACCAAACTTTACACTTGGCACAATGCAGTCAGGTAAGTACTGTTCTCCTGGCAACCGCCAAACCCAGACTCGTCCATCGGATTCCCAGGCAGAGAAGCATGATTTGTCACTCCAGAGAACACGTCTCCACTGCTCTAGTGTCCAGTGGCGGCATGCTTTACACCACTGCATCTGATGCTTTGCAATGAACTATGATAACCTGATAATGTAAGGTTTGGATGAAGCTGCTCGCCCATGGAAACCCATTCCATGAAGCTCTCTACACACTGTTCTTGAGCTAATCTGAAAGCCACACGACATTTGGAGGTCTGTAGCTATTGACTCTGCAGAAATTTGCCGACTTCTGCGCACTGTGCGCCTCAGCACAACTCATGGCTGAGTTTCTGTTGTTCCCAATCGCTTCCACTTTGTTATACCACTAACAGTTGACCGTGGAATATTTAGTAGTGAAGAAATTTCACAAATGGACTTATTGCACAGGTGGCCTCTATCACGGTACCACGCTTGAGCATGCGTGCCTTTCTTTTGGATGTGGATTTGTTGGTATGGAGGAAGCAGACCAAGAACAGTCTACGGGTGGACAATGCTGACCAACCAAGGAGCAGTGACGAGTAAGTGCTCTGAAGTTTGTGATGAACCTCAGTTGTCCATAGTAAACAGTCTCCACCAAATTCAGTCTTTGAATGGATGCATGCATGTATATAACATTGCCATAGTCTAGCAATGACATAAAACTGACAGCAACCAGTCTCCTTTTGGCCTAAAAGGAAAAACACAACTTGTATCTATAATAAAAACCCAATTTCACATTTTTCACCAATTGCTCAATGTGAGGTTTAAAATTAACAGTAATTTAAAGTTAACAGAGACTCACCACTGGTCAGGAAGTTGGTAGCCTTCTCCTTGATGGCTGCGGTCAGCTGCTGTGTGTTTTCCAGGTACTGGAGGATGTAAATGTTGGGGGCCAGGAGCGCCATGTTCTGCTCTCCACATCCATACGGCATCTTTAGCAGCCCATCCAGGTTCTTCAGGGCTCGGCCCAGAATGTCACCTGCACAAGAACACTGACTCACTAAGACCCTGCAATCAGTTTAACAACGCATGCATATTTAACAACACATTTATCCTTTATAGTGCAGAAAGTGTAAAGTATGCGACACTAGAACGATGTTTTCAAATTCATCTGCTGAAGGGCAAACATTTTTCTGAGCTCACCTTAAATTTAGTTTATCACGTGTACATACGAGTAGGATTTCGTGAAGTTACAAATGTTTGGAAGCCATTCATGGTTCAGTATGTAACTTACACAAGTGTGATGGGGACACTTGAAACCTAAGTGCATTCACGCTGAGAATGGAGTTGACTAGCAGATAAACATTTAAAATAAAAACTATTATTTTTTGATTCTCAATTTTTCAGTAAGGGTAGATGTAATTGTACATCTAGTTACATGTGAGATTTTAACCCCTTTTATTGTTGGAAAACCACATAAGTATAGTATGTTTATTCATCTTCAAACATGAGGGGGATCTTCAGATTTGCTTTGTGTTACATGAAAGCTCAGCAGTTTGAAACGGTTTGACAACAAACGCATAAAAGCAAAACACAATATTTAGAACAATCCGGCCACAGAAGTCTATTTCTATTATTGATGCCCTTATGAGGCTTCAATAAAGGGAAGCCTGTTAACTTACCAAAATGTGTCTGTTTAAAATACTCAATCAAAATGAATTTATTACCCAGGACTGATAGTGAAGCGCGGGCAGATCCATCAATCATGTTCTCGGGGAGTTGGATGTCTATTTCCTCTGTCACAGCTTCCCCTGTGTACAGACAGAACAAACACCTTTCAGAGAGAAACTCAGTACTAAAAAATGCTATCTGCGAGTATTGAATGTCTCCATTGCATTTTTGACACGTTGTCTACTCGACTCCTAACACATAGCATTTGGCTCTCTATGTAAACGTTTGACGTGCCATGCCTGGTGTAAAACATACTGACCTTTTGGGCAGAGCAGAAAGTTGTAGGTCTTGGTGATCTCAGTTCCCTCAGCCTGAGAGGAAGAAATAATATGACTTCCAAAGTTTCCAGCTTGTATTAAATGCAAAAAATAATGGTTAATGGATAAACTTGTCTTTGTCATCTTGTTTTTAAGGTACCAACCTTTACTATGAGAGATCGTGTGACCACGTCGATACGTCCTCTCTCTGGAACACTCACAATCTCATTGTCACATGAAGTGTGGGATGCCACAGCCTCAGCCGTCACAGACACATTCACAACCCCTAAAAAACATCAACAAGCAGAGTGAAACTTGAGTAACAACTTCTTCAGATCCTGTCGTGTGTCAAAGTGTCACTGAGGTGTATTCTACTGATTCCATAGAGATGAAAAGGAAAGACAGCGACCCTTTAACATTGGACACCAGTGTGGATAAAAGCTTGATCCTCACCCAAGGCTGAGGGGGCCATGGTCCAGCTGAGGGTCTTGCGCTCACTGCCACACAAACAGGATGTGTACTGGTCACCAGAGAGCGGAGTGAGGGTGTAGTCTAAAGAGGGTGCTGGAGTCACAGTGACCTGTTCAGTAAAGACAACAATATATTTTATAACTGGAGATTTATGGCAAATGCAAACAATTTTGACCTTCCAAAGTGACATCTTGTAAGTTTTATTTCAGCATTTTAACTTCTGATTGGTCCAATCAATTGTAAGGTTCAATAATGTTTTAATGTAAACTGCCTTTGAAACATACGGATTCCACCTTGAAATACTCAGATCAGCCTGTCTGGCACCAATGATCATGACAGAAAGGCAACAGTAACTCAAATAAGCACTCGTTACCACCAACGCAAAAAACGTGAAACAAGCGGCCTACAGCAACAGAAGAACACACCGAGTGCCACTCCTGTCAGCTAAAAACAGGAAACTGACAAACTTGGACATAGAAGATTGGAAAAACACACATTATATATATATATATGCGCAGTTCTAGGACTGTAGTACTTTTACGCCATCTAGTGGAATGGTGGTGGTAATGCACAGCAACACGTGGGCTTGAGGCCGATGTGCGCAGCTGTAGGCTAAACCAGTTGACAAGCATATAATCAATAATTTAGGTGTAGGTACGCACTCGGTGATGGTTGTTATAAGGGTAATTGGCTTCAGGGATGTCAAGAATAACATAGTAAGCTAGCTAGCTTTGTAGCAGTCAGCTAGCTGGCAGTATCAAAGTAAACAAGGGCCTAGAAACGCATTTCTGGTCCTAGGATTGCGGCCCTGAAACTGCATCCTCTGGTACTGCAGCTACATACTACTCACCTAGACAGTAAGTGCTACAGACGCAACACTCATGGGTAGGTACAGACCCATGAGAGGAAAAAAATTGCACGCTTCTACCTCTAGTTGGCACTACAAGCAAGGTCAACACGGTTGGGCTTGGAACTCCTGCATACAAAGGTGCATATCAAATGAATCTCCTGGTATAGGCCACGCCCATTTCCGCCTAGACCTATTTTAATTAACTCCTCCGAAGCCACAAGTCCAATTGCAACCAAACTTGGCAAGGACTATCTCTGGACAAAGCTGATGAAAGTTAGTGCTCTCTTGCTCTATACATTGTTCCAATAATAAACTAACAAATGTTTGAGCAAAACGCTAAAAACAGGAAGTGATGTCATTTCTTAGGTTTGGAATGGCTGATCAACACCAAACTTGGTGACCTTATGTGGCTCGGTTTGGGTCATTTCTGCAAGTCCAAGCGGCACCAAATTTGGCACGGACAATCTCTAGACCAAGCTGATAAAATTTAGAGCTCCCCAGATTGATACACGAAAAACTTTCAAATTTATAAGCTAACACCAAACACTTGTGTGGTACGCCTTCCCGAGGGGCTGTATGTCATTTGGTGTCAATCTGCCTCATGGTGGCACTGGTGGATGTGTCACAGTGGAAAATTGAACCCAGGTCTCTCACACCAAAAGCATGTGTCTTATCCACTACACCATCAGCACCCCACCACCCATTTATTCAGCACAGGCCCCACGAAGCCACGGCGGGGCGCCCGGGTCGTCTCGCCTGGCCTCCGCGGGTCAAGGGGTGCGGCTGGCGCCGGGAGGCTTGGACCCCACTTATAACGGCTTGCAGTTCTACTTATTATTATAATTATTATTATAGGTCATGTAAAGGCATTGGTTACCATGATGCAGCTGGACAGGTAGTTGAAGGTGGTTGCCTTCAGTTCAAAGTGCTCCCCCCGGATGATGGAGTAAGGCAGGCTGAGCTCCAGGAAGAAGGGCTGGAAGACTGTGATATCTTTACGAGGAGCCAAGCCAAACCCCTGAGGGGACAAACAGAAAGCCTCCGTCTCCCAGGTGGTGATGGTGTCTGGGACAGTGAGGGACACATCCTTTGTTCCAGACTCTCTGAACCAGCAGATACACACAGACACATTCAGTGAGCTGGAAACATGCTGACATAACTCAGATTAATCAAACAATGTCAGAGGATGAATAATGTGTGGGATTAACTGCACTAATGACACTACATCATAGTTACTATGATCTAAAATACCCTGTCTTCTAATGATTCAGACACTCACAAAATGTTCTGTGTTGCTGAAGAAATTCACTAATTTCTCATGCAAAATAAAGAGCATGATGTACGCTAGCCCAGGCTATTTCCTATACACAATTATTTTAAAAATAAACTATGCATTCACAAACACCCTAAAAGGACAAAAATCTTTTTATTAGTATTAATAATTAACATAAAAGGTCTTGATGAGGAGTGTCAGTAATTTTTTTACATGCAATTTATAAGGGCAGGAAGACAACAGGAAGTCAGAGAGAAGCACTCTAGTGCACACGCTCTATGGGCCCAAATTTACATTTACATGTATTCATTAGCTTCATTATAATTGCTGAGTATGTCAGAGGTTGCACGCCCCTGGAGCAACTAGGGGTTGAGTGTCTTGCTCAGGGACACATGGTGGATGTATCAGAGTGGGTAATTAAACCCGGGTCTCTCATACCAAAGGCATGTGTCTTATTTACTGTCCCATCACCACTCCAAATACACTCGAACAAATTTTCCCCCAATTTATGATCATCAAAACCCTTTTTGATAGAAGCTCACCCAACTTCCACCAAGTCCCATATCCAGGTCTCAGGGAAGAAAGTGCGGACTGTTTCTACTGGCTGAGGAGGAGAGGAAAATCCAGAACCCACGAGAGGAACAGTAGGAAGGCCAAGAAGGCCAGGAGGACCAGGAAGACCAGAAAAACCAGAAATACCACCTGGTAAATCCATTCTGTGTATCTGAGGAACACTCTCATATCTGCAACGTATACCTACAAAAGAAACCAGAAAATACTCCATCAGAAGCAGAGTGTAGCAATGACACACAGAGCTGTTTAAATATTAGTAAATATTCAGTGTCACTTGATAAAGCAAAAAAAAAAGAGTCACCATAATGGCCATGGTGGTATTCTCTTCCTTTGTACTTGATGCATGAAGGAACTCTGAGAGCCAAGTTTGTTGCCATCTTCAGCCCTACATACTAGGTTATTTGACAACATACAGGCATCACTGAAAAGTTAATTAAATGTATAACAACAAAATGTATGAATATAGTCTTTATATTGTATAATATTTTTCTGCAGGAAGTACCCAGAAAACTGAATGAGCATCATCTTCATTGACCCATTGTCCGTGGTAGTATGGCACGTATCTTCTATGTCTCAAATGCAAGCATTCCTCAGGATCTTGAATCTCATATGGAACAGTATATGCTTTTCTGACAGGCAACAAGGCAAATATCTGAAAAGAAAGGCATGATTTGAAGCTAAAAACTGCCAAATGTTTGTTTTATGAAAATGTGAAATGTGAAAATTGAAGGCTTACTCCTTCATCTTGAAATGTGGATCTTAAGTATTTCTGTCAACATATTATCCAAAGGGTGCGTAAATGAGATAAATGCTAGTAAAGTTTATTCTAGTTACCTTGTCTGCATTCAGAGTCTTCCCTGGCTCTTTGATAAGGACACTCTGGTCGACAGCGCTCACACCACACAGAGAGTCTGGCTGGGCCGTCACCTGCAGGATGGTTTCCTCTCCTGGAACAGCTGAGGACGGAGAAAACTCCAACGACACCTGCAGAAAACACATCACGCCATCTGGACTTTAGTGGTATAACAGCAGAACCTGATTTTCTCAACATAACACAAATTAGTATTTCACTCCAAGACTGACTTTTTTAATCAGAAAATATATGTCCTACTTTCAATAAATGGCAACATACTGACCTTTTGTAAGAAAAAAAATATATATTAGAGCACGACTGATATGGGATTTGGGGGCCGATGCCAATATTAAAGTGAAAAAGAGCTGATTAATGAGCCCATATTTAGATTTTGAAAATTATTTCAATAGTCCTTCCTGTATAAACTATACTTTAAAGCCGATATTGAAAGCTGTTCTCCATGTGGGCTATAATACATTTTCCTGAATGGATTACATTAATACATTACAGTCTCAAAAACTCAACATGTAAACCCAGGCCCGGATTAAGAAGTCAGACGATATATCAGCCGATACTTTTCCCCCCTTATTTTAAGCATAACATAAACAAAGATTATCCCTAACCTCTGTTATGTTGAGACCTCACCATGATACCATGACATAATGCAGTTAAAAAATAAACTTTGTTATTTTTAGAAATAGTACTTTGAACAATAGTACAACAAAATATCTTAAAGTTTTGATAAATAACATGTTGTATCCAGTGGGCCCTCTCCACTGTTTACCTTTTATTCTAAATTGTTTCCCCATCCTATTGTACCTGCCTGCCTGTCTTTCCCTGTGAGTTGTTTGGTCTACAGGTGGACGTGGTATGTCCTGGCTCCTGCACTGTGCTCCACACACCTGCACCTCGTTCTCAATCAGCCGCCTCTTATCTACCCTGGTCCAGCATGCCAGTATTCGCCACATTGTCTGCGTATCTTCCGTGGTACACACCTTGGCCTGCTTCTGTAGTGAGTTATATTTTTTCCTCGCTCATTCTAACGTTTGTTTATTCTCCTTTGCTCTCACAGAAACACTCGAATCTGCCTGCCCACCTGCTTCGCCTTCACCGCTTCAGCCAACCATCTAGCTTGGATTTCCCTTTCTGGACCTGGATCACTCCCTTGCCCCAGCAGACTGTTAATCCCTCAATAAACTCCTTTTGACTAGTGAACTGTTATCTTGCTCTGTTGTGCTTTGGGGTCTGTAGTTTTATACAGTCAAATGTATAAAACTACAGAAAACATTTCTAAAATATCTGATTTATTATAAAGAGTAGTATTACTAAAGAACATTAAGTTAAATAGTGTATGTATTGTGGGGGCCAGGGAAACAAACTATAAAAACTACCAATATAGTACTAAAATAATATAAGTACACAAAATAATAATACTATTAATATAATGTCATTGCTATCATTATAACAATAAACAGGGCTCTTCTACATAGGTAAATAATTTTGTCATGCAGTAGTTATTACCTTACAATTAATTAATTCTATCCAATGCTACAGAAACACGCAGAGGAAACAGTGCACTTGAATTAATTTAATACTACATGACTGCCTACAAGGAGGACCTGCAACTGTGTGTTAGATACTTGTTCAGCTCACATTTAATCTTTTATGACCCACAAACTGTAACTACAGGCACTATGTAAGCCTCCACTGATAAACATGGCATCAGCTTTGTGGCTAATTTCGCAACAGGCAGCGTTATCTGCTGTTTGCAATGTTAGAAAATATTTAGAAGTAATAAATTGGAGAGAAATTAGGGGACCGGTTGCTAGAACTACCAAACTGTTTCAGAAATAAATCTACAGTCACTTTATCACGTTATCACACTGAGCCTGGAGAGTGCAGTGAAAAACGGGACCAAGTCTGGTCTCCGAAGAGGAAAAGTGATGAGGGCTATTTTTATTATTATTTAAGACGTGTAACTGACGTGACAAAAGACCAACTCACCGGGAACACAGAGTTTCCAGGAGCTACTCACAGTAGCCCCGCCAGAGCCGCTCTGAGCTCCAGACTGCGGTCAGCTGATGTTTGGATCTGTTGTGCTGCAGTGTTGTTAACAGGAGCTGCAGTGCGCCCTCTGGTGGGCAAACTAACCAACACTCGACATGAGGGAAAGATCCGACACTGTTTCTCACTTTTAACAGTCATTTAAATATATATATTGCAGCTATCTTCGACTCTAGCCTACTAATCAGCTCTAAACCTAAATTAAATTATAATTCATTTGAAAGCCTTGTTCTTAGTCTTTCACACCCAAGTTGGAAATCACTGCAACCAATTCTTTTTGTTATAGTGTACCGAGCACCTGGTCCGTACTCTGAATTCTTATCTGAATTTGCAGAGTTTTTGTCAACTTTAGTCCTTAAAACGGACAAAGTTATTATTGTAGGGGATTTTAATATTCATGTGGACGTTGAGAATGACAGCCTCAGTACTGCGTTTATCTCTCTGTTAGATTCCATTGGCTTCTCTCAGAGTGTTCATGAACCGACTCACTGTTTTAACCACACCCTCGACCTTGTTTTGGTATACGGTGTTGAAATTGAACATTTAATAGTGTTCCCACAGAATCCCTCTTTATCTGACCACTGTTTGATAACTTTTGAGTTTGTATTGCTGAACTACACGCCATTGGGCAAAATTTCTATACAAGATGTCTGTCTGATAGTGCTGTAGCTAAATTTAAGGATGCGATTCCATCAGCTCTAAATTCATTATCAAGTCACAAAGTAACGGAGGACTCCTATGCTAATTTCAGTCCCTCCCAAATCGATCATCTTGTTGATAGTGCTGCAGGCTCGTTGCGAATGACACTGGACTCTGTAGCCCCTCTAAAAAAGAAAATAATAAAACAAAGACAGTTAGCTCCATGGTATAATACTGAAACTCGTAAATTAAAGCAAATATCGCGGAAACTTGAGAGGAATTGGTGTTTCACCAAACTGGAAAATTCTTGTTTAATTTGGTAAGATAGTCTTAAAACTTATAGGAAGGCCCTCCGTAATGCCAGAGCAGCGTACTACTCGTCATTAATAGAGGAAAATAGGAACAACCCAAAGTTTCTTTTCAGCACTGTAGCCAGGCTGACAGAGAGTCACAGCTCTATTGAGCCAAGTATTCCCATAGCTCTCAGTAGTTACGACTTCATGAGCTTCTTTAATGATAAAATTCTAGCTATTAGAGACAAAATTCACCAAGACCTGCCCTCAACTGGCACCGACTTATCTCTAAACTCAGGAACCTTAGAAACAGCTGTAAAACCAGATATATGTTTAGACTGCTTTGCTTCCTTTACCAACTAACCAGTAATTTCTTCATCTAAATTATCAACCTGCCTCTTAAGCTTATGATACACGGAGCATCTTTTAGAGCAATCGTGCTGGGCAACGTTGCCGTCAGTGGTAATGAGTAAAGATTACTACCGTAATCCCCTTCCCCCACCACCCGCCCTGCACCGCCACTATCTGTTCAAAACATAGTCGGACTTGCCTCCAGCAACATTGCCCAGCAACATTGCTCAAAAAGTTGCCCTGTGTATCATCAGCCTTAGACCCCATCCCAACTAGGCTGCTTAAAGAAGTTTTACCCCTAGATCTTAGTGCTGCATTTGATACCATTGACCATCAGATCCTATTGCAGAGACTTGAACATTTCATTGGCATTAAAGGAACCGCTCTAAGCTGGTTTAAGTCCTATTTATCAGATCGATTTCAGTTTGTACATGTTAACGATGAGTCCTCCATGCATGCCAAAGTTAGTCATGGAGATCCTCAAAGATCTGTCCTCAGACCAATCCTGTTCACTTTATATATGCTTCCTTTAGGCAATATTATCAGGAAATATTCCATAAACTTTCATTGTTATGCAGATGATACTCAGTTATATCTATCGATCAGTTAGCTAAACTTCAAATGTGCCTTCAGGATGTTAAAACCTGGATGACCTGTAATTTTCTAATGTTAAACTCAGATAAAACTGAAGTTATTGTTCTGGGGCCTAAGCACCTCCGTGACGCATTATCTAAAGATATAGTTTCCCTTGATGGCATCGCCCCGGCCTCCAGCACCACTGTGAGGAATCTTGGAGTTATCTTTGATCAGGACATGTTGTCTCTCCTGGCTCTCCAACCGTGCTTCAGCACGCGCCCAGCGTGCCCCCTCTCCCGGCAACGACCTAAGCAGTTTGACCCGGCGCAACAAAGCCCCCTTTGTTCGTTTTCAAGCCACACACGCGAAGCGCCACAACATCGATTTTTCCCTCGTTTACAGCAACTTTACTTGCTTTTTATTTTATTTTCTTTGGTTTGGTTTTGTTAAAGGTTATCAGACCGTTAAGTAACACTAGTTTAATTCAAGAAAGACCAAGTTCTTTTTAAGCTTTATCTTTCGAGCTAAATTACACTGCTCCCACCGAGGTCGGACCCTACCACGTGGGCCCGCCAGCAGTAACAAAGGCCGACCAAACCTCTGACCCAAGCCAGGGTTGGAAAGGCCCCCACTGCGAGTTTCTTCAGTAAGCCGACAAAAGACGGACCTCCGGAACAATTCCATGGCAGAAAAAGTGACTGGTCAACGGCTTTAGGCTGTCCTAACCGAGAACGCACGGATCTCTGCCAGTGCGAGGCCGTTTAACAGCAACCCGGCTGGGAGAAACGACATTCAGTAAGACCAAAACCCTGCATTCTATGATCAGTGATGTCCCATAGTTGTTAATAGATTATCTTTAACTCTTAAAACTCATAGCTTACATTCATTAGCTGCCCGTATGAGTCAAATGCTCCCCACAATAGAACCCACATTCTCATTGTTTAGCATTGTTTATTTCTGGGATGTATATTTTAACCGCATTTTTATATTCACCTTAATTAGTTAATAAATGTCACTGTAACCAAAGGAATTGTGTGTGTATTGCCCATCTCCAAGTCCCTGCTACGAGAATTTACCCCTTTGATATGAGACGGACTGACTGATTTAAGATAATTGAGCGATTGTTAACTAACTGATCACTGGTGAATAACTGCCTAATTATTAGCCATACTCAGGGAATCCCGAGACCCTGGGCGAATGGAATCTCG